TTTATTGTACTGACTCTGGTATTTGTGGTTTATGTTTCTTTAATCTCTAGTGAAGTGTGGTTCCTCCTGCCCTCCCCAATTTACTGCTTTTGCCTCTTATTATCCTTATAACAGGTGATGGTGCCCTTTAAACATATTTTCTTTCAGGCTCTTACATGCTGCAATATGAGCAGGAGTATGAAGAAGTATGATGATGTACTTAAAATGGTGTCTTTACATAAGAAATAAGAAATTAGGCCTTTATTCTGGAGATCTAGGTCCACCCACCTGGAGGCAAAGAGAGCCTCTTCCATTTACATGAGTTCAGCAGGGTATTTGATCACCCTCTGCTGGCTGAGCTGCCCGGACAGCTGCCAGTCACTGGATTTTGGGAGAGTGCCTTTCCGCTCTGGTGGAGTCCCAGACATCACTTAGGATTTCACTTTGTGCGTTTGAACCGCGTTACTACAGTTTAGTCACAACAGTTTGAAATCACTGGCTGCATAGAGAGTTTTTTATTTTTTATTCGAATGGATGGAAGAGAATTCTGCCCCTGGGTCAGATAATCATCTCAGACCCGTTAAATAAGCAGCTGTGACATGCATCATAACAGTGGCTTAAACCACCATATTTTTTCAATATGACACTTTGTTGCTTTTTTTCCTTGCCCCATGGTTGGGCTTACATTAGAAAAACAAACATCACTTAGCTATAATTAAAAATGCCCTGCAGTAAGTGGGATGACAGAACAATGGGAATGCTGTTCATATGGATGAAGTCAAGTGTAAATGAAGTCTAAAAGAATTAAGCTGAATGCAAGGATAAAATTATCATGTTGGCTAGGCACAGATAAAATAAGCCTGCCCAATACATCAGATCTTCCATTTCACAGTAAAAAAAATCTCATCAGGGTAGGTTTTTTGTATCATGAGGCAAATCCATCTTTTGCTGTAGCAACAGAAACATAACCTTCAATTAACTATTTGAAACTATTTGAAATGCAGTCATATATTGGTAATTGTAGAGACTTTTATGCATACAAGCATCTACCTTGAACATGTGTGAAATATACTTATTTATACTACTTGCATTCAGTTTCTAAAAATAGGGAATGTTCATAATATTATTCTCAGAATTCCTTTTTTTCCCAAGATAGTCGAGTTCTACCTGGAAGTACGTTTATTAAAATTTTATGTTGAAGAATCTCTGTATCATATAGGGTTTTTTAAAGTATGCTCCAAACATAATTATGAACATGGTAAGACATAATTATAAGAAGGGTTGATATTTTTCAACCTCCAGTAGCTGTCATCTTGCTTCAGGTTTAGCTCTAGTCAGAGCCTTGCTGACCAACCTACTGATGTTTCACTAATTGCCATTTGAAAATGAAAAAGGAAACTGTCTAGCTTTGAAACATTATTCATGAAAGAAGGATCATGCTGGCATGTTTTCAGAACAGGATCTTTCCCCCCTGTCTTGTCTAGACAGGCCAAGTACAAGACTTTGTACTAAAAAGGGCTCTCTGGTGTGTCATTAGGCACAGTGGTTTAGTCTGGACTGGTCTGGATTCCCTGGTCGGAGTGTTTTGAGGTCTCTCCTTGTATTTTGGTACACACCTCTGCAGGCTTATTTCAGTTTGAAAATACTCTTAATATTTGCTTTCTACTATCTCCCTCAACCTGACTTTGATCCATCTTGCTTTACAAGGAAGGATTCTTCTCTGGTTTTAGAAAAAGCACTCTTTAAATGCATTCACTAAGCAAACTAGTTTAAGATACTGAATTTTTTGTTCACAAGTTGCAAATACCAGATCCTAAGTATGTTCTATGGTCAGAAGTATCTGAATTTTCATTGAATAATCTGTTTAATTAATTTATCTATTCCTGTAATACATTTTTAAAAATATTTCTTTCACACTTCAACAGAATGTGAGTATGCAGACTAAGTTTTGCAATTTTGTGTCCTCCACTAGATATTACATTTTGTTAGGTACAGATGTTACTTTTGCAGATGCATGAGTGAGAAAAAGAGGAAGTCCCATTGATATGCAGGCACTGCTCAGCACTAACCAAAACATTGTTGTGACATCAACACTGTCCTAAAACACTGTCCAACACTGACTATTTGGATCACAAATCCAAACAGCCACCACAGGGGCTGTTGTGAACAAAGTTGACTCCATCCCAGCCAGCGCCAGTAGAGGATGACTGCTTCCTTGGCAAATAGATTTGGTGGGAGATCAGAAGGCAACATGATTTTTAACAACACGCCCCATTTTCAAATCAACACAGAATTCCTGTGGTACTGTGAGCAATCTTCCAGTCCATGTGGGCACATCAAAAAGGGGACAAGAGGCCTCATGACTCTTTTTTTTTAATGCACCGTCACAATGGCTATTTTCACATGTATGAGGGAATGAGGAAATAGCCTTAATATTTTACAAGAAAAGTTGATTAAGTCTGCTTTTTGTTTCTAAATTTGTGTTGTTTATTTCTGTTATCTATGCCACCCCCCCCACCCCCCCCCAGTTCACCTTAAATCACAAATTCTTTCTTCTAGTTAGTCCTCTTAGGATAATGTTAGTTAAGCCCCAGAACTTCTAAGACTTTAATATAGCTATGAAAAATGCAATGCTTTGTCTAGTCTTTTGCGTGAAAACTGTAAAATCTGGTGGCAAACAGACACCTTGAGTTCTTAGCTTTAACTGCTTTTGACTTGGCATCTTGCTTGAGCATTTTATATCAGCCATGGGGGAAGCAAGAAAAACATTACATTAGGACTCAACACAAAGGCACAGGAAAGCAGTAAAAGCTAGCCAAAGTAGCATGCCACATATTCTAACTGCAGGATGGTGATTGATTCTTTCTAATAGAAGCATTGTGTTCTTTTCCACTCTGACTGAACCCTGTGTGATATTCTTCACTTAAGATACTTGGGAAGCTTGAATCCTTTCAAGACAACTTTTCTAACCTTCCAAGACAGCTTTGTTCATTTCTTGTTCCAGATTTTTATGAAATTGCAGAAATGAGTCCTAAAGCATTGTAATTAACAGATTGCTAATATTGAGCCTGTTGTTTTATGTCTCCTTTCCAGAAGTAATTGTTAATGACCTTTTCAGTTCCATGGGTTTCAAAGGCTTACTTCATTTGGTTATGATTTTTAAGTACTTCAATGCCTCTTCAGTTCTTTGTTGTTTCAGAGAAGAACAGAGTAACAAACAGAAGAAAATAATTTGTTTGTACAGTATTTAATTCTACAATTTTAATAGGTCAGGGACTGCAGGGTGGGACTGAAAAAAAAAGCTTAAATTTGAGGACCTCATTTTAGGCAAATACTTATTTTATAAGTACACTTTCACCAAGCAAAATAGATCAGTTTTTTCCCCCATAGGAAATGCTTGTTTTCCTTGCCCTTCATACCTTCTATTTATATTCCTAAGTATCATTTTATATGTTACACATATTTGTGCATACAATTTTTTTATTGCAGCAGGTTCTTGCTGGTATGTGTACCAAAACATCATTAATAGTCTTGAGAAGTGTTCAGAGTGAAATCTGCAAATTGCTTTTATATATAAAGCAAGTGAAAAATGAAAATTAATTTGCTCCCTTTCTCAATTTCTTTTTTCTCTCCTTTGCTATTACCATGCTTGCATTATGCAATAGAGTGAGTGTTGCACCTCTGTAGCTGATTTAGGGATTTTTTAGTATTGGAGGTCCTGTTGTCTCAGTTCAGACTTAGTTAAGATTAAAGCAAAGTCTTCTGCTGATACTGTTGAAGATGAACAAATTCTACCTCTTTGCTGGGAAAGACCAGAAATCATCTCTCTGAAGCAGAATCAGCCAACACATACTGTAGTCTTAGGGAAGCCCAGGGTTCAGGGAATGGCACTCCTTTAATAAACTACTTGTGAGAGTTTCTAATTCTGCCTGCTTTGCCTCTGCTTGTGAATGACAATCACCAGAATTTGTCAATGTACTAGTACTGTAATGATTAAATTTTAGTTTGTCTAGATATAGTGTGTTCTCTGTTCTGTATGTGTATTCTACTTTGGAACAATCCTAGTGAGAAAGCTTTTCATAATTGTGTGTATATTTTTGTGAACATTTCCTAATTACATCTCCAGTACTTGCTATAACGTATATTTGGTCTCATGGGAATTGTTCTCATGACAGAATCATATTTAGGGGAAACTGTTCTCCTTTTTTTTTGGTAAAAGCAAACTATAAAAGCTACAGCATGCCTGCATTTAGCATTCAGACATCTTATAGGCATTTTAGAAGTTTACTAACTTTGAAAGAACACTTGCATGTGGGATTTTAATGTGCAGACACCAAGTGCTTGACTGTAATTAGGGGGGGAGACTGGCAAATTTGCTTTGGGAAGGTAGTTAAGGAATAATTGTCTGTGTCTGAACAGGATTGTTCCTGGTTACAAACTATACTGTTGCCTTACAGCTGATGAAAGATTTTTTTTTTTAATGTGGGACAATTATTATTTTTATTAATACTGCTGTCTTGCCCCAGATATGCAAGGTGCCACACAAATGTATATGAGAACACGGTCTTTGTCCAAAGTGAACTATAATCAACATTAACTGCAAAAAATATTGCTTATTATTAAAAGGTGAATTTTCCCAAGTGGCAAATCTGGTTTACTAGTGGTCTGATTCTGGTGATTGGGAATTTGCCACGTATATATTTATACATGCAATGCTGTAAGGACAAAACTATTTGTTTGGTGTTGAAATGTTGAAGACCCACCCACCATTATAGCATCTAATTGAAAAAGATTGTAATTTTAGCACTGAAGAAGGGTAGGTATCAATTTTCTCACAAATTTTTGTTTTGGTTTCTTCTTTGCCTTTCAGAGTGCAAATTCACCTGCGCCAGTGGTAAATGCTTGTATCTTGGTTCACTGATTTGTAACCAACAGAATGACTGTGGGGATAACAGTGATGAAGAGAACTGCCTGCTTGTAACAGAGCATCCACCTCCAGGCATCTTCAGCTGTGAGTATTGGCTCCTTGTGTGCATCCATGTATGTCAAATATGTCTGGTTACCTCAGAAATCAGTCTTTTTGGAAACTTGATCTGCAGTGTGATATCAAGGGAGTATGAGACAGAGAAAGTTAATAATACTTTTCTCGGAACTAGCAGGGATTTGTGACACACTTTCCCCAGGATGTAAAGTTTTAGTTATTCCAGTGGAGTCTGTGCTATGGACATCACAATTATAATCATGTGGATCATATGTGGCCTCTGAGAAAGCATAATTAAATATTTGTTTTCAAGATTCTACAAAATATGCTATGCTCTGTCTGTGTAAAAATCTTTATAATGCTATTAAGACTATCAAGAAAATTATAATTTTCTGTTCATAATTCCTATTAGTTTTATTGGTGTTGAGACCAGCATCATTTGGTAGGTTACTGACCTTTGTAGGTATATATTTAAAATATCCTTAGCTGCTATTCTTCAGTGCATAAATATTGCACATAGAGTGCCAGAGTTTATCACAGGAATTGCTTTCTTAGTGCTTTGACCTCAGTCATGTACAATGAAATCAAACTTTGCTTTTGCTTTCATTTCTCATGCAATAATTTATTTTTAAACTACAATTCAGCTTTCTGGATGGGTGATAAATTTTCCAGTAAGGTTTCTTATACACAGGTGCAATAGAAGTATGTTATGTTACTTCTGCTTTCCGAGTGGTTTTGTTCTGACCATACTGACATCCCTCAGTATTCTATTTCACTTCTGGTTGTGACTATATCTTAGAAATATCTGTTTTGTTATGTTGTTATCAGTAATAGCAATTATGAGCAGCATGTAACTGTAATTTTTGTAATTAATGCATATGGCTATAAGCAGGGCAGAAGATGGAGTCAGGTGTTGGATAGCTGCCCTCCTGTACCCTCTAACCTCTAAGTGGACATGTTCCTAAATGCTATACTCTAAATAATTTAAATCTTGTACTTTGTATTACTTTGGTACCTCCACAGTGATTTCAGTGGCTTTGAAATAATAATGACCTATGTATTATTTTAGGCTCTCTCATTTTATTTTTGTTTTAATTTATTTGGTTTTGAGTGGAACTCTCTCCCAAGTCCCAGGACAAGACATAGGCTTTGGTGATGCCTCCAAATCAAAATGTCACGTTTGCCCTAACGTTGGCTTTTGAGTTGTAAAAAAGTTACATTTTATTATTTATTCATGCAGAACTTGTAAGCACATCTGTTCAAATAGAGGAATTTTTTTTTTGACTGGCATACTGTACAGCTTTTCACTTACCCGTAGTGGTAGCAGATGGAGGGAAGGGCTTTGGTGATGAGCAGCAGCTGTGGCATTGCAGGTGGTGGCTCTGCACAGCTGCAGTGTGATGGTGGCACCCTGGGAGTTCCTTGGTGGAGCCTCTTAGGTGGAACTCCCAAACCCTTCTTCATTGTCAGGTCTGACAATGAGGGCGCCGATGGTTTTGCAGTACCCCTCTGTGCTGGTGGCAGTCTTGCAGTAATGAAGTATCATGCTGGCACCTTCTCCTCAAAAGCCCTTTGGACCCTATAAATGGTTACTTGCTTGACCCGGCATCTGCAAACTTTCTGGTCTTCTCCTAAGTCACATATGTCCCCTCCAGTCTTGCTGTAGATCATGAAGACAGGCCTGCCTGGTCAGCTAGTGAGTTGTCCCCCTAGCCTCCAGCAACATGAAGTTTGTTCTGACCAAACCAAACAAAATGTGTCTCTGAAAAACCTTCAGCAAAAGGTTCCCCACTGCTTTCCTGAGAATTGCAGTTGGTGCATTTCATGATCCTGTCTCTGGAACATCATGCAAGTTGGCAGCAATTTTCTTACTTTTCAGTGGACTTGAGAAAGATAGTCATCTTCCTCCTCCAGTCAGGCTTTTACAGCTGTGAGGGCTGTTACCACCCATCCATGGGTGTTAAAAAACCTCCAGCAAACAAAACCCCCCAATTTCGTTCATATGAATTATGTTTCCTTAAATCTGTTGGACTTGTTCATTTTCTCTGACTGCTTCTAAAATATGGTCTCAAGGAGTAAGCCTACTCCTTGAGATCTCCCAAGTGCTGAGGGAAGAGGGGTAATTACATAAACAGTCTTATTATTAAGTCTTTCAAGAACTGTATTTGCTGGTTTTGCAACAATATTGGAAATGAGTTTGTAGAGGAAATACTGGATACATTGCTAAGAGCATTTGGAAATGTTTAAATGTTTGCTTACCTTGTGGCAGACAAAGCAGTTCATGATTTGTTGCATTTGGGGATATTGACAGGGACTGTACTGTTTAATTGCAATATGGACTGTTTGAAAAGTGCTGTTAAATAAAGGGACTTCAGTTTTAAGTAAAAAAACCCCAAACAAATCCCAGTGAAAAAAGATCCTAATGGTGAAACAAAGAGAAAAAGAAGATCAAAGCCAAACAGAAAAAAATAATACAACCATATTCTGTATTCAAATTATATTTACCATGTTCTGGCTATTAAACAGACTACCACATGGTAGAAATCAGTGCCAGTTGGTAATAGGAAACAAGATTATTATGGACATGTCAATTGTGTTGGCTTATTCCAGCTTTGAAAAAATGTTTTTAGAATACTTGCTGAAGTGAGGTCCCCAGGCCTTAGAGGGATGACATGTTGAATTAAGAAATGTGTGCATGCTTTTGCTCAATGATTTTAATGGGGATCCCTACCAGACTGCACCAATGTATGCTCCTGAAATGTCCCAGCTGAGCAGGCTGCCTTTCAACACAGAAGTACATACATTCATTGCTCTCTCATTAGTAACAAAATAGCAATACAGCTCAATAAGAAGAAAATTAGTATTAAAAATAAAAATAACTTGAGGAATGTTAAACCAGGTATTTCTTTCTGGTCAGTGTTACATATAAGCTCTGTTCTTGCATTTCTTGCTTGTGTGCAGTTCTTAAATGGGAAAGAAACTGTTGAAAGGAGCCACTTATTAGTTTGTGCTGGTTAACATCCAAGCAGGGTATTCTGTTTCTCCCTGGAACTGCCCTTGTCTTTACCTGCAGCACTTTGTCACTACAAGCATTATGCCTTCCCCTCTGCTGTTTGTTCAAAGATCCCTTTGTCATGCTGTGTTCAAACCTTCTATTTTCCTGTGATGGAAAAAAATATTAATCTCATTTCAGAGTTATACACAGACTGTCCCCAAACAATGTCTAAATAAATTAATTTTCATATGAAAGTTCTGCTTTAGTTTATTTAAGCAGTATGTGCCATGTTAGTGGTACCCCATATTTCCCAGCTGCTGAACCATTTCTCATTTGTGTTCTTGCCAGCAGCCAAATCCAGAATGTCGTGTTGAAGATACTTGCTCAGTTTAGTGAAGTTGTATGGGCAATGGCATAGGAAGATTTTTTTTTTTTTTTTTTTTTTTTTTTTTTTTTTTTTTTTTTTTTGTGGGTGACCTGCTCTCTGGATCTCGTGATTATAGGAGTTACTCCTTACTGTTAGAGGAGTTCATGTCTCTCAGATCTGGTGTTCCTTTCTCCTTGCCATACTTACATGGCTCCAGTGTGCTGTTAACTCAGTCTTTTAAATCATAGATTGGTTGGGGTTGGAAGGGACCCTAAAGATCATCTATTTCCAATCCTCCTGCCATAGGCAGGGACTCCTGCTAGAACAGGTTGCTTTAAAGCCCCATCCAACCTGGTCTTGAACACTCCAAAGGATGGGGCAATTTCTCTGGGCAACCTTTTCCAGTGTCTTACCACTCTCACAGTGCAGGATTTCTTCCTGCTGCCTAATCTAACTCCTATTCTCATTCAGGCCATTCCCCCTTGTCCTATCACTACATGCCCTTGTAAAAATGTTGCTACTGAACTCAATGTCTCACACGTGCAAAGGAAAGCAGAAAGTGTATCTCTGAAACCCTTTGGTTGTCTTAATTTTCTGTTGCTGACTTATAGGTAGGGCTGCCTTATGCCGCTGCGTGGGCGATTCACTCTGTATAGCGCAGAAAAATTGGAGGACAGCTGGGAAAATCCAAGGTGTGTTAGAATCTGATTTTAGATGACACAAAGCTGCAGTCCAGCAAGTTGATCAAAACACATGTTAAGGCATTTAAGCTGAACACATTAAGGTAACAGCTTGCTTGGTTTACAGTGGGATGCAGGTTTGGCGATGCATGTTGAAGCGCACCTCCCCTCCTCTGTGAGGATACCCAGTGCCACTGCACCTCTCCCTGCAGCTCGCCGTGTGCACAGCCCATGCCAGCTTTCAGTAGGGCTACTTGTTTTTGTTTTCATCAGCTGTAAAGACTTATTGATTGAGATAATGGAGATGACTGTTCTTTTAAGACTACTTGGAGGTCAAGGGTGCATTTAACAGCACAAAGCCATGATAGGAAAAATGAGGCAAAGAGTAGTATTTTAAACATTGCAGACTTGGCCTTGGCAGCAGCTTGCCACTCCATGTGACCTGGAGAATTTGGACTCCAAAGAACTGAAACAATGTGCCTGCATCTAGGACACAGTTCATTTGTTTGAGCATTTACCTTTGTTTCACAACAAATGATTGGCCTGCCTTGTCCTGCTAAAAGTAAATTAGATTTTGAAATGGGAAGTGTCGTCTGTAGTCTGCAGACTGCAGTGTCCAAGTCATGTGTTACTGAGAAGTTTTTAATTTTTTGGTGGAAAACAGTACAGGTAGTTGTCTTTGCTATGATCTGTATGTGTTCGTGGGCATATCAAACACAAATATTGACATGCTTGAGAATTTACAGAAGAATAAAATAAGTGAGGATAAATCCTTCTTGTCATGTGCAAATTATGTCTACATCAAATTTCAAGTTGTCAGCATTGATGGAGGTGATGTGTCATGGCTGTTTTGGCATAGAAGAGTTTGCTGTAGGAGTTCATTTTCCTCTGCAAGGTAAAAAAACCCAAACAAATCAAATATATAGCTCTCCCTTTCACCACCCCCACCTACTGCTGTCAGCTCTGAGCTTTGTAGGGATCTGCAGGGGGTTGGAGAATGATTCTGTTTTAAAAACAAAAAGCTCAATCAAAGGAAAATATTTTGTTTAAAGAGACCTTTGGCATCCCCCTCTGACTGTGACACCGAATTTGTGCAGATAAAAACAACTGCTTAGATTTACATTTTGATTGTGCTTCTGCTTTCATGTGTGCCGGGCTGTCCCACTTCAGGTGAAATTTATCCATTTCTTTAAATATTTAGCAGTCTAGCGTTGATGTTAATGAAAGTCTAGCACTGCTATTTTGAGCATTGCAACAATGATAGTAATTTTCAGTGTCAGATTACTGCTTCTCGGAGGAAAAGGGAGATGGGAGGAGGGAAGAGCAGAAAAAAAAAAAAAATTGTTTCGGCTCTAATAGAGTTTGTCATCAGCCTGGCTGTGCCAGACAGATGGATCATGAATACTGTCTAGACGCTCTCTGCCTGAGTGGAGCTGTGGTCTCTAAGGACAAGCAGTGAGACGCCGGCTTAAGTGACTGGGGAAAGTCAGGACGTGCTCGCCGCTCAGCAGATAGCGAGCCGGGCTGGTCCTGCCCGCCGGGGCTCCGAGCCGCTCAATACCGAGCTCGGCTGAAACTTGGCTGTTCCGGGGCTTTGGGGGGGAAAGGAGAGGGATGCTGTTCCGGCTGTATTGATTTCAGCTGCATCTGCCCAGGGACTGCGGGGTGATTTAGCTGGGAGTACAGATCTCGGGAGGGGGTGCATTGGGAGAGTCATCATCTGGCCATAAAGCACACGCTTTAAAAGGCTGCGTGGTCACCTGTATTTATCAACTGCTTTAGTCACAGTGTACACTGGAAAACGCTTACTTACTTGCTTATGTTTGCTTTATTTGGCCACTTGTTCAGAAGGATTCATCTGTTCCCCTAGCCGGGGCTCCCAGTGTCCCCGGCTGTTACGAGGACGAGGTTTCATGAGGCTGCCTTTGGAAAGGAGAAGCTGTGGGAACCAGGTGAGACCCACAGCCTGGGGCACATCTTGTGCTATCTAGTGGTCTCTCATGCTGTTACTTTTCCCTTCTCTGTCACCAAGCACAATTAATCATAAGGAAATTTCTAAGGTAGATGGAGCGATAAATATTTTTTGACCAGCACAGTTTTAACAAAAACTCAATTTGTTACATATGCTAACTTATCTAAAAAGCAGGAGGTTCTCTTGGGTTCAGATTGCAGAATAAATCATAGCACTTTTGATTTTAGTTCTGTGTGTATGTCACTAAATACTAGATAGCTATTTTAATTTAGAAAATCCAATTGGTTTTCAGCCTGTAGTGCAGTCCTCTTTCTTGAAGTGGTATAATCAGGTTCTATGCTTTGTTCTGAAATAATTTCCTCCTTGCATATTTTTAAAGCACATCATGGAACATTAGCAATTAATATTGAAAATTTGAAAAAGAGGAAAGCATTAAAGTGACTTTTGTATATTATTTTCTTAAAACTTTGTATGTATTTTAAGAAATATTGTATTCCCTAGCTTCTAATAAATGAAATAGAATCCTGGTCCCATGAATGCTCTAACAAAACTGCAGTGAAATTAGAGTTTACCTATTCTTCCTCTAAGGCCTTACACTACGAGTGATTTGGACAAGCCAGACACACACATATGTGGCCAATAACAGCCATGAAATGTGCTGGTACAAAATCAGGTATTTGCATCTGCTTACAAAGAGGGCTGAACTGGGCTCCTGGTAAGGAACTGCCATTTCACAAAGTTTATAGCTGAACATTAATCACATATTTATGGTTAAAGAGAGAAAGAAAAACTCACAATACTGTGCAGATGAAACTGTGGGGATCTCACTAGCTTTGAAGTGCTATTTTGTTCATTCTAAAAATATGTAAATCAATTGTATCACACTTAATCAAGATTTAGAAAAAAATGTTCTTTAAAGTTGTTTGTATTGTGCTCTTCATGCACATTTCATTCATCCTTCCTTCAATTTCTGTCAACTTCCAGGAAACTTCATCTATTACTAAATGTTGCTTCTCAGAACAATCATGTTGAGTGTGATTTCTCCTGTCCCCTTTTTTGGCTACTGATTTCTTACAAATGCAGATTGTAAGCTCTCAAAGTGTACTATGTAATAAAGTCTTCATTCAAAGACCGATTTTCATGTATCTTAGAAAGTGATTAAGCTTCAGGTTGGAAATCTCAGTACTGCCAGGCACGATGGGACTTTTATCTTACAGATACACTTGGTTTTTCAAGACACCAGAGCTCCTCCTGGACCTGTGTGAGGCTGGGAAATGACCTCCCACTCGCGCTGAGGGCATCCTTTTTACTCACTGGTTCTCCACCAGAAGTGCATAGTAGCATAAACTTTTTATCAATGCGGGTGTAAAACTCAAGTATGAAAGCCACAGTGCAGGCTCATACCACAGGCAAGATCCTCCCCCTGGAAAGAGAATAAACTGTGAGACAATTATTTTCACATATTATTTCACGTACACCTAGTAGGTGCTTGAACACGACATCAGAAATCATTTAGGTTGTAACTGAGCAACTTTTGCTGCTTTTATTTTCAGTCCACATTACTGAGTATTGTCCATTGCTGCCCTTCCCTGCTATATTTTCATTTGCAGGGATCACACACTGTACTGTGCACTAGACAGCTAGATTTACCTAGCTAAACCTCTGTAAGTTTTAGATACACTTCTGAAATCTTGCTGTGTGAATTTTACAGGCACAGCTTTCCCCACCATTCATTCAAGTCACGTTGGTTATTGGTGGTAAATACTCCTTAGGAGGAGCACTGCACTTGTACTGTTTACACTTGGCTACTACAAGCCTGGAGGAGCCATTGGGAACTATTTCTTCTATACAGCATTGGCAGCTGTTCAGGTGTTTTAGGCAGAATGAAGATAACTTATATTTTCTTGCAGCTTAAAGTGTTTTGTGAAGGTTTATTTAAAAATAATGTTTAAAAAAATCCTCACAAGAAAGGGACATGAAGTCAGACTAGATCACCTTCCATCTCTAAGAATGTTGCAGACTGTGATGTTTGATTGCTTTTCATTCTGCAGATGTGCATCTGACCATTTATCTCCAGAAACTCATCATCTTCCTGATGAAATGAACCACCTTAATTTTTCTTAAGCAGGCTCATCTACTTCTGCTGTAAAGTAACAACTTTAGAGATCAAGGTGAATTGGGAGTCTGCTTGTAAGTTCTGGTATGAATACATGCACACTGAAATATTTCTGTCTGAAATTTCTATGTAAATTAACATACAGCTCATTAACATGAGCTCATGCTCAAAGAAATCCATGTTTTTCAGTGATCTCTACAGTGGTTTGTATTGTGAGTGAAATTATGTTTTTCCATATCATGTAGTGTTTAACCAAAGCATGTTGCTCTGGTCATTAGTGTGTAGCTATTTTTCTCAGACTGGAAAGCCTGAGAAACCCTTATGCTCTCCACAGTTTTGCAAGTGCTTGAAAGTGGCACAAGCCACCATTGCCTCTTGTGGCTGCTCCCTCACTTGTTCCTGTGCAAGTGTTTGTGCAGGCACACAGGAGTTGGGTTGGAGGCTGGTCTGGTTCTGACGAGCTCTGAGAAGCTTCCACTTTGTTCTGGCTGGTGTCATGTCCTTGGTTCTGTTCTCAGCTTAGCTGTGCAGGCTCTTGTGCCTGCACAAAAGCAGAGGGAGGTAGGAGTGGCTCTGTTCAGTGGGAGCTTATCCTTGACTGGTTTAAGGTTTCTGTGCCTTAGTCCCTGCCCTTCTAAAGTATATGCAAATAGACCTTTTCCTGAATACACAAGAGTTTGGGAATAAAGAAACAATAGTTGCTTTCCCACTTTTCTGTAATTCTGAAAATCTCATTGTTTGTTACTTTTTTGTAATAGAAAAATGAAACAGAAGAGTGAAGCATCACACTGGGTCTCTCAGGGCTATCCATGGGCTTGGGCTCATTTGGACTGAACTCAGGCTAGTACAATGTAATAATACCATTTTGATAACCAAGTCCAGCTTGGCTTAAGTCATGGGGCTTTATTGGAATGATGCTAGCTAGTTAAATTACTACATAGGAACAGCTCTCCTGGGTCAGATCAAAGCTAGCTCACCATCAAATCTAGCACTAGTCAGTTGCAGTTGCTAAAGTGAAAGAGTAAAAGCAAATTAGATAAACACTTATGCTTTTCCCAGTAAACCTGATTCCTTGGAGAAATGCTGCACTGCTTTGCATGAAGAGCATGGGGTTTATGTCCTCTGGAGAGAATTTAGCATTTAGAAAGGGCAGAAATTGGGGCAAAGAGAAAACGCCTCATTTCTGAAGTGTGAGAATAAGCGAAGATCCACCAACCCTTCCCTAACCAGTAGATGTGTGGGCACCGTTGGCTTCTTCTGTATGCAGCACATACTTTTCATGTTAAGACATTCTGAATGTAGGACACGAGCTAGAAGGTGCTGAATTCATGTCAGCTGGAAAGACTATTTGTCTGGGTCTTTTCACTTATTTTGTGAGAAACATGGACTTCTAGTTTCTCTTAAGTTTACTGGTTTTTCCTGAGTGATGTTGTGGGGTTTTTAGTCAGGATTTGTGGACTGTGTGACAGCTTTATACTTAATGGTGAACCAAGTTCATCTGGCAGGCTTCAATTTATTTTAGCTGTTTAAGAAAACAAATGCACTCACAAATCCTACTACACGTAGAAAACACAGTTGTCACCTGTGACTGTGTAGCGCACAGGCATCAGATACCGTGGGTGTGCACATGCATCTTAGAGCAGACTTGGGCTTATTTTTGTTTTCTATACATGCATGTTGTGTGCAAACCTAAGGAGTGAATACAGACTGGTTAGAGTTAAGAAAAATACCAGCAGCATAGAAATATCTATAATCAGCTTCTACGAAAACACAAATTGGTATTCCTACCTTTGTTTAAAAACAACTGTTCTTTTAATTACAGGTTAAGGCTTAAAATAATGACTAAAAGAGAATTTCACATTTTATTTAGACCATAAATTAGACAGTGGAACCAATTCTTTATACTGAGTTACTGTTAGGAGCTAACAGAAAACAGATCAGGACAGTGAGTTGTTAAATCAATTGTGTTTTGTGTGCGTTAGATGACTTTTCTAACATAACAATGCAGTCTAAGGTGTTAGAGATGTATTGAACACAGCATTATTCAACCATATATGATAAGATCTCAGGTCTACTTATCTTTCCAGGAGTATTGCTACACTGATAGCTTCTTCCTTCCTTCTCAGTTTCCTCCTTCTCTTTCCTTCTGTTCAGTATCACTGTCTGATAGTTTTATGAAAGCAAGACAACATGAGGGATCTGGGAGGGGGTAGAGATAATAGTGATGCATTATGTGAATACTGAGTCTGACACCTAGTAGCACCTTGATAGAAATAGAAAGCTGTGATCACAGTATTAAAATATGCTAACAAGCTGAAGGAGCTAATGGGCTTAATTTTTACAGTGCAGATGTTAATCCAGCACTTGTGCTGAATGCAATAACAAATGTGTGGGGGCTGATGGTGATGTTACTGTGTTCTTGGCAGTACAGTCCTCCAAAACAATCTTCCTTTCTTTGATATTTTACTAAGAGTTAGAATGTTCTTTTTTTGTGGTCTAAGATAACAAATGTATAAAGAAATTGGCATGACTAAGGCTGGTTGGGCTAGGGCCGTCTTTATTCAGATAGGGGGTTCTGTAAGAATTGGTGTACCCCTGTGTTTGGTGATGGGGATTGCTGTTCCAGTTCTTATATACTTCATGTTCCACAGCTCCTACTAAATTTCAGATAGTTTTATTTTTACTGGTTTCAAAACCGAGCTCATCTGGCCAGAATAAACCATTTGCTTTGAGAAGCTGTAGAGCTACAGTCTGATATAAAGCTCAACTCCCAGTCTTTCCTAGAGAAGAGTCAATAGTCTCCTGGAGAACAGTCACAGTGGCCTGTAGTCCACCCCAGTGCCTCAGCCTCACCACCCACCTCATGGCATTTCATTGTGTTCAGTGCTTTGCAGCTAATGAGAATAATACTGTTATCCTGTGGAATCTTTCAGCTCTTTCAATAGGAAATGATCTTGACTTGCTTCCAGCACATTTGGATATTCCTGTAGAAATGACCTTCTGTACCAGTCAAAGATTTTTTTAGACATTGATGGGGATTATTATGTTGCAAACCTCTCGTTTTTCTCTTTTTTTCCTCTCCCTAACAAAAGTACTGGCTTGTTTAATTACCAGCAGGAAAGGTGCACGTGGCTTTTGTTTGTAATAAGGTGCATCTCTCACTGTGAATACCTGTCACTTTTGATAGGCTATTACAATGTAAGTGATCAGTCAACTGGCCCTGAGTATTCAGGGCTGCTGGTGCTCCTCCAGCAAATAAATTTGTTGCATATAGAATGCAGGTTTCAAACCATGTCCCCTTTTGACAAGCATCTAAGATAATGTGCAAGGAAAATAAATTTCACTGATGTTAGAAAACTGAAGGAAGGACTGAAATGATATGAGGAATGGAAGACTTGTCAGTTAGTGAATAGGGCTTGCCACCAGTTCCAGGTTTGCTTGACATCTCTGCTACCAACTTCCTGGGCAACACTGATGAAATAATTCTTTGTTTTCTTTCTGAATTTCCTTATTTAAAAAGGGGAGATAATGATGTTCATCTACTTTGGAGAAGTAATAAAAGAAGATTAAATTTTTATGTGGTTGAAAAACAGGAAAAGGGATGTTAAGCTGTAATAGTCTCAGAAAATGGGTATTATGTACTGGAAAAAAGTGCAATTATAAGGTGACAGAGAGAATGAAAAAAAATTGGAAGTATGTGTTTTGTGTTGTGCATTAACATTGTCACATACTGTCCATTATTAATACATGTATATTTAATTTTTCACTTGTATGGCAACAAGGAAATGGATATGCTAGATAGTTTCTAAGTAGGTACATAAAAAGTGGGTACATAATTTGTATTAAAATGTGAGTAGAAACAAAAGTAGAGGAGAGAGTTTCATCAGTCAACTGTAATTCCACAACTGAAGCAGAATATCCTAAAATATGGTAAATTGTAACGCAATATAATGGTGTTTGGTGGTGTGTTGGAGAAGTTTGAAAAAGAACTTTGGAAGAATTTAATCAAATGAGGTCAGCAGTCAACAGAATGATGAATGAAATTCAATCTTGATTAATGCAAGTAATTCATACTGGAGGGCAAAGTATTATACATTTTATTAGGTCCTAATTAATTGTGTAATTTAAGGAAAAGGACCACTAAAAAGCATCACTATGAAAGGCTGAATGCAGATCTCTTTAGAGAAAAGAGTTGTGGTCAGATAAAGTATTTTGAGTCAATAAAAATAGGATGTGAAATGTTATGATGCTGCTACATAAATCAACATTTAACCTTTATTTAGAATGCTGTGTTGCTGCAGCACAGAAACAAACTGTGGATGTAGAAAACACAGGAGAAAAAGCAGAAGGAAACCATGAACAGACCTGGATATGTATAGAGCACAAATATTTTGGAATAATTTGCTTTTGAGTTTAGGTAAAGGGTGCGGAAATAAAAAGGTACAGAGAACTATGGGTGTGGAACAGAGGTGCTCAGGCACTTATGTGTGGTAAGATTAGAAGATCATTCAGTACAGTTCAAAGTTGATACAAAAGAAATATTTTCACAGTCTTTATGCTGTATACCTCATTACCCTGCAATGCTTTTGAAGCCAAGATTTAGCAATACTTAAAGAAAGGAAGCCTCTCAACACTGAGTCCACTCGTGTATAACTATCCAGGGGGTAGTTGTTAAGAAATGTATATGGCTGAAGTTTCAGGTATTCAGTTAATTTCTAGCTACAAGATCATGTTGAGAGCTTGGGAGAATGTTTTCTCATTTTTTTGAGAACTGAACATCCTTATCCAGGAAGTCTCTGTGTGTGGGTTCCTAAATTTGGGGTGAAACTGAAGTCCATAATTAGTAGTTTGTAATGCTCCTTAGGGCAGCTATGATCAAAATTCTTACGTGCAGTTTCCCTGACTTAAGTAATTACTGATATTGTGTGTAGCAACCCTCTGTCATACCTTACAACACAGAAATCTCTATGTCTTGTGTATCTATCTTTCATAGAAGGTGGTTATCTAGTGAGGCTGGTGCACTGAGTGGCTCATCAAGCAGAAAACTGTGGTATCTCTGCTGGCCTGTGCTGGATTCCTACTGCACACCATGCTGTAGCCCTGGGAGGGTGTTAAGCACATCTCCAGCACAGGAGAGCACGCTGACAGGAAGAGTTTACTAGGAATTGCGAAGGAAGCAGGTTTAAGCAAGCAAGGCTTAGAATTAAATGTGTTGCAATATGTATTGGTATTTGATCCTTTGAAGTTTCCTACAGCCCTTCTGTCCATTCAACTCATGCAGTTAGTAAACCAGACCCTCAGACATTTCTGCTTCTTAAACACGATGTACTGAACTCCATATGTAGATGCCCAACATTAGTGGACAGCACTTGTAGGTCTTCTCTTCTTGTAGAAGGTGATAACAGTTGCTTTGCCTATTACAACACGAGCTCTCCATTAATTAGGACTTTCAGAGAGAGATGTGTGTAGGCTATGAACATGCAGAGTGATGCAGAGAGGTGGGAAACAGATGTGTGGTCATATATGCACCAGCCAGCTATTACTCAGATACCATCCGCCTGCTAATTAGTGCCTGGAATGTTGAATAACGTTGGTGTTTATGTGATTGCTTGACTGCAGTCCTGCATCTGGTTTTCACACTTGTCTCAATCGCTGCACAGTACCATAAGTAACATGCTTCAATTAAAATTGTTTTGAAAGTGATGTATCTAGAACTTCCTTGTTACAACAGATTAATTTCTTGGTGTAGATTGCTGTAAGTATAGGGCCATCAGCTTTCTGTGCCCTTGAAGAGCTAGCATTTGGGTTAACACTGGAGGGGAAACCTGACTCATCCATTTTGCTTCCTGTCATGCTAATGAACCCAGTGTGTGCCATCTCAACTTTAAATTACCCCCTTGGTGATTCTCAGTGTACCCCTTTCAGTGATGAGACAGCAAAGAGGAGCCAATTTCTGAGCTGCCATAGCTGGGGAAGTTATGGGATAATATTACCTGTGTGACAAGCGGCTCCTTAGGAAAACTACTGCAATTTATCTTAAGTTTGTGTTTTGCTGTATTATCTCTTAAGAATTTTGATGCAAAGTATTAGTGTTTCCAGTTGCTACGTCTTAAAAAAACCATGCTTGCATGCACACATATGAGCATATATTTTTAGAGCAGACTTTTTTCTTTTGTGAAGTCCAGATCTGAGATATGTTTCAGTCCTGCACATCATTATAGGAACAGGCAGTAGCAGACAGCACAATTAGTGTTGCCACACTGGGGTTATAAATTATCTACTACTCTATACTCTGCTGTATTCCAGGTAAAAGGCACATCTGTAGATCAGAAAGAGTGACTCTGAATGCGATGCCAGAACATAAATACAGAGATGATTTTTCTCTGATCCAGTTTCTGCATTTGTAAAATGTTTCTCACGCTTTCCTGGAGCAACTTCCTTCTTTATCCATATGAAAAAGCTCATGAATTGGAAGAGTGTTTCTATCTTCCAGGTAACTGGGGAAATAATCCCTCTTTTCCCCCTCCCCTTCTTCCCTTGTTTATCTTCCTTCCTCACAGAATGCTAAAACATTATTTTTCCTCCCACAGTTGAAAGGTGTATTTTGCAGAATACAGATGAGATATTTGTTGGCTAGCAAAGAATAAAGCAAAACAAGAGACATGCCTTTCAAGTACAAATGGGGCTTTAGAGATCTCTTTTGGAGAGCCGAATTTCATGTGAGCACAACTGTTTCTCCATATTGCCTGGAACTTCAGTTACATACTTGGCCATACTTTCTAGTATGGGTTCTATAAAGATATCATTTGCCATGATAATTGTGTACAAAAATGTTTATGCACAGTAAAAATGGATTTCAGAGACCTTTGAATTGCACCCACAGATACAAAATTTTGCAGTGCTTTTCAATATACTGAGCTGGATTAAATATTAGTAGTAATAATAAATAGGTGACAATCCTCTCTTCATTCTGCAGGGCTAACTAAACTTAATGCTTTGAAGCATATCAGGTTTTCTTTGTTTTTAATATTTCTAATATTTGACCTCTCTAGTGAAAAAGGCGAAGTATTTTTTAAATATAAAAATCTTGTTTGCAGAGTGCATTTTCATTACACTGGTGGTCTCTGACTGAAAAAGAGTAATCACAGACTTTATAGCATATTTTTAACTAGGTGGATAACTGGTTATTATAGAGAATGTGTTGGTTTTCTATTCCCAGCTAAATAGAAAAATTACGTTAGTAAACTATAGACTGCGTAGGCTTTTTCTAGAAATTGTTTTCTTTAATTATGTCATATATAAGCCCTAGTCAAAAGGTATATTTGTCCCTGATTTCAGCAGCAGTTAAGTCATTTAAGTAGGAGCTAGACACACAAATGTGTTCTATATGTGACCATAGTAGCTATTTAAGCTGAGGATTTAAGCAGACAGAATGTAATTATCCCCATTGCAAGACTAATACACAAGGGAAAAATACCATAGGATTTTGTAATAGCAGCAAGTGGTCAAGACATTACATTTATGCTTTGCTAGTTTTACCAGCTGTGTCTCATTCCATTATTCAGACAGACAGACACATACACACACACACACCTCTCTTCTAATTAATTATAGTTGCCTACCAGTGGGGGAGGAAAAAAAAAAAACAACTCCAGAGGTGATTTTCCAGAGAAAATCTGATTCTAGAGTGGGGCCACTTCTAGAAATCTGCAGATGTGAAATAGGTTTTTGAGGTTTAAAAGTCTTTGATCATCACATGAATCTGAAAAAGAAATGCAGTTATTGGGATTTTCTTAGTGATGTACTTATCTCAGTTAAAATCAAAAGAAAACATCAGAAAAAGACTTTGGTTTTTCTGCCTTGTGTTATGCATGAAGCTGCGTCTATCTATGATTCACAGTGACAAAACATTACTCTGTGGAAAACACAGTGAAGGCAGGGCACTGTGCATTAGAAACCAGGGTTTAAAGTGCTACGTCCAAATGGGCAGGTATAGGTGATGACACCACATCACCTACGTTCCTAAACTCTTAATCTTTAAAAAAACCCCTTCTGTTTCACATGGTATAATATTTCCTTGCCAGCAGTGCCTCGCTCTCTGCTGAAATACAGTGTTTGTGAAGGAGAGCTGGCTGAGCACGAACACTGGGAAATAAAAATGAAAACAGCTACAAAATACACGGGTGTTTGAAGATGGTAGAATAGTGTTTTGGGTTTTTTTCACATCTTTGGTAGAGGGCTGGGGTAGAAGATGGTCTTTTAAACGTTCTTGAATATGAATAAGAGCAAGTATCTAATCCTTTCACTTGCAGGGGTGTTTGTTTTCTATGTGACTGAATCACTTGCTCTCCTGAAGGCATCAGCCCTGGTCTCTAAATCCTCCTGCTGGCCTTTGAATCTTGTAAATATTTTATTTTTTCAACTGGAATTAAAGCCCCATCTTGACTTTGTAGCCTCCATTTGATTCCTTCACAGGCTAATTGCTGGCCTTTGGCAGTGTGTTGAAGTTAAGCACGGATAAAACATGTTTCATGGACGTGAAGCCCTTAGATGCACTGCAGTTTTGCACAGTATTTCCGCTGCTCATAGGAGTAATTGTATTCTGACAGAGCTGTTTATTTGTTATGTTACACGTCTGCAGTGTACATTACCTTGAAAGAGTTGAGACAATGCTACATTGACTTGTTTAAACAGTAACAATCCTCAGAAAAAACACCTGGGCTTTCTAGGTGTGTCCATGAAGGATGGAGAAACCGGGACAGTACTAGTCTGAGAGTGAAGAGATTGGGTGAGATTTGGTGGAGAGACTGGAAGATGGATAAGTTGTGGTAGGCAGAGTGAGGCTGCCTGACAAGTCAGTAGGTGGGAAGAAAGCAGGAGGTGTGGCAGGTTGTGGGAAGAAAAAGTTGCTGGAGTTCCCAAAGACATCGCCCTGCCTTGCCGGGCTATTGCCATCCGAAACTCGCTGCGTGCGCATGGGAGCCAGCTGCCCTTCCTGCTGCGTGTCCGGAAGTCAGTTTATTGGAACTCCCTGAGTTTTTGGGTCCTGCTTCTGCAGGAACCCTTGCAGGCAGCTCTGGGCTCATGGTCCTGCGTTTGCAGTCAGCCACTCTGCATGAGCATCTTGGTAGTGAGGATGCTCTCAGGCAGAGCGCTGCAAAGCCTCGTTTATTCAGATTTGGGGCATTTGGAACACCTAATTGTACTGTCAGTGTTCCATGAAGAAAACACCAAGCAATAATCCATCGTTTTAAACACCCTGTAAAAGCAATTGGGAAATTAAGTGCTGCAGGATTAGGGTCCTAATTGCTCATATATAGTGTCTCAGCTCAGGCTGGTGAAAATAGACCTTGTTCTTTCTTACGTGGCATCATTCCTTTCACTCCTAAATTAGGCAGTGATTAAAAAGATCTATAACTGAAGTTCTCTGGGTCCCTGTGATAGGGCTGGGTGGGAAGAACCTCACACTGAAAGAAGGTTTGTTGATTTAGCTGTGCTGGATATCTAATGTTTCACCCTGACTGTTAGTTTCATAAGTACTAAATGTAGTAATTATGCTTAAATATAAAAAACAAAAGAAAAAAAAAGTTTCAAGTGTTCAGACTTATGGATGACTGGCAGATTAAATACCAGGGACCTGGCAGTGTGTGCATGGCTCTGGTTCAGCTGCAACTCCTTCGACCAAACTGATGGGCCTAAGGACTAGGAAAAAGACAAGTTAGAGATTGCCACCATTGCTGGTGAGTAGAGTTAAACAGCATGAATATGGAGGAAGCTGTGTTTTATATAGTATTTGTGTTTGTGGTGTAAATCCATTCATGGCTTTAGTTACTTCAGCAAATATGGTTGAAGAGCTTACTACTGTTTCATTTTAATTTCAAAAGAAGTTGGGAACTAGACACAGAACACATCCAGGGAGGCCTATTTAATATGGACATACAGAGTAGCAAAACTGGGACCTGGTGGCGTAAAGGGGGCTCTCTTAAAGCATTGCTTGGTGTAATTAATTCATGTCACAGCAAATCTATATTTTGGGTAAGCTTCAGAAAATTCTGGGCTGGAAGAGAAGGGTGTGAGGACTTGCTGATTGTAGGACAGTAATTCTCTTAGTGAGCAGGTACACTGCCAGCTCGAACTGGTGCTGAAAACAAACATGTAGAAAACATGGATGGTTGTACGTAGTATGCTGGTACTGGTTGTGAGGACTTGAATTCATGCTTGTAGGTAAAAGTACTAAACTTAAGCATAATGCTTCCTTTCACTGAGTCCTACCTACTTTTTTCAGCTGCCCATTGCTGAGGAAAGAAGTGAAAGGAGCTCATGAAATATGGCTTCGTCTCCCTTTGATTCAGCTGATGCCAAGGATGGAACTAGACAGTGATCTTCACTCTTTCTTCTTTCATCCTGCTATCCTTTGATGTTTTGCCTCCTAAAATCCTTTTTGCCAAATCAATCCAACTCCTTCTGGTCAAAGTGTGGGTGTTAGAGTGTCCACTGACAGCTTTGAGCTTCCTTGCTTTCATTCAGGCACTTGGAAAGGGACAATGAGGCAGCAAGGAAGATAAAAGGAGTCATTCAGACTTCTGTTTCAGATGAAAGAATCAAGTTTGGTGACATATTCCAGTCTAACAGTATGGCTTCTGTTCTTTGGGGCAAAATATATAAGAATAAAGTGAACAAAGAAGTATTCATACTGTATCTGCTGAATTGTAACCCTGTTCCTGTGTTGTACACCAGGTTTTTGAGCCATGTGGATTTTAATGAAGAAGATTAACTGGAAGTTTGGGTCCCTTCTCCATTCTCCTTTCTCTCTTCCCTTTCCACTCTCCTGTTCTTTAAAATCATCCCACATGACCCCTGTAGGAGGAGTTTTCAGGAATCAGTTCAGGGTCAAAGTCTGGATTTCATAGACCCATGTCAGGTCACAGGGTTGCTTTGCACGAATTTACCACTGTGGAATAAGCAGTTCCAACTTTAAAAGATTTATATCTTATTTATCAATATATTTATGTTATTTAAACTTATTTATATTATCTTCTTAGTAAGAGGCAGTCTCCACAGTGTACTGGAAGGGAGTGCAGAGTGTTCAGTGTTTACTGAAAGGCTCTATAGAGTTAAAATCTGCAGAAAAAGTACCCAGTTCATCACAAAGAGCTATTTTCTGGAAGCTTAAGTTTTGTTTTGTTTTTGGTTTTTTTTTTTTTTTTTGAGAAGGTCATTTGGGTCTGTATTAACTTGAGCTGACGTCTATATTTTTTTTCCCACAAAACATAATGTAAACTTTGTACATTCCCAGTGATAAGTCAGATGTTACAGCAAGCTCAAGGAGAGATTTGTACTCTGGGAAATTAAACTCCACTGAAGCTGGTGTGTTGTTAAAGGTCTCAGAAACAGGCTTCATTCAGAATGTTTAGTTAAAATCTCAAAGATAGCATATATTCCTAGATATTAAGATAATAGATATTAACTAAACTGCTAAGTTGGAAAGGGCATGAGGGCATGAGAGGAAAGGAGTAATAAAAAAAGTAATAAAAAAAATTTAGAGCATGTCAGCTGAAGATCATTTACATAAAGGGACAACACAATTAAGATAAACTAAATACTATTATAAACAAACGAATAAGCTAATTTTAATTAAGATTAAGTGTGATTGGATTTAGGTCCTCCTCACTGCTCATGAAGAAGTGGGTCTGTACTCTCTATACCATGCCTCCATCATAGTGTTCCTGTTTGGTAGTTTTAGTCATTCAGTCCAGAAAAAACCAACCTGGAAACTGGCTTCTTGGAGTACATCTTAATGTTTTTCAATAAATTGAGCACAGCTGATTTCTTCCTTTGTTTTTTTTCTTTTTTCTTTTTGTTTTGTGGGTTTTGTTTTTTGTTTTTGTTTGTTTTTGGGATTTTTAAGAATTTTTGGGGTTTTTTCCCCTCTGGAAAACTCCATTGGATCTGTGTTGTTTGGATTTCATTTATCTCTTTAGATCTGCTTCCTTCAACTCACTACAAGGAGATATGGCATGGTATTTTTTTGCTAAGTCAACTTAGCACAGACTAGTTTTGAGGAAAGTGTAATCTTTCACCTCTTGCTGGTGTAGCTGTACTTCAGTATTTACAGGTTATATTTTCTTCTATGGACTTGTTTGTTTTGCATTGCTGACTTTAAGAAGGTCAAATTTACACTTTAGAACAAAACTACTTGCCTACAAGAGTACTGGAAAAAAGAATGCTTCTGGAACAAAGAATGATTATAATGAAACTCATCTTCTCCCAAAGAGCCTTCCATGTGAAGTGCCCCAAAATTCTTGTTGGCTTGTCTTGGGTCCTTGTTTTTTATCATTTTGTTATGTCCTCAGGCTTGGACTTTTTGTCCTAATTCTCTGTTGTTAAAAAAAAAAAAATAATATTCTGGTTGGGTAAGCATTTGTTAAAAGAAAATGTGACCTAAGATATAAACTTGTAAAATAGGTTGTTTTTTAAGTCTGTATGTATTCTGAGTAAAACGGAAGACTGAAAACTTTTTGTTTAGGGTTGTGAAGCTTGTATTGACATAAAAATATTCAAATTACCTAAAATGGTAAATTGTGAATGTTCATCACATAGCAGTGAAAATGCTTTCATGTTGGAGGTGTGATTATGATCTATAGAGTGAGTGCAACAGTGCTAGTTGGGATGTAAAGTTCTTTACTGGAAATAGAAATGTGTCCAGTCACATGATGTCACTGCACCCCTCATTTTCATTGGGTCATGCATGTGTCCCAGCTATTTTCAGAAACACTGAGTATCTTCAGATTGGGTGTGATGTTCCTGGTGCCTGGGAAAGGGGCACTCAGTCTTTTGGATCTGTGACTATCCTATGCCTCATCCACCAGTGACTGTCCAGTTGTAGAGCTAACAGCTTTTTTTTTTTTTTTTTTTTTTTTTTTCATAGAAAGGAAACAAAGAGCATATGTTAAGTTAGAAACCTTCTGGTTTAGGTTTGGAATAATCTCCTAGGGAAGCCATCATGAAAACCATTTTCTCCGACCTAAAGCAACCTAAAGGAGGAAAACTACAGAGAGGTATTTTGAAAAGCAAGAAAACATAGCTGGCCCTTGAATAGCTGCTACTGTCTGCCCTTGTTAATGGTCAGACCCAGCTGTACAGCAGAGAAATAAAAAGGGAAAAAGCCCAGAAGCTCCTGAAATAAATGTAAAAAACCAGGGAGCAAGGCTTCCCTTAAACAGGGAAAAAAGAGGGTTCTCCAGCATTCAGAGATCCATTCCTGTATTTACCCATTGTAACTGCTTACCAAATCCCTTCAAAAGTTTCCTCCCAGAATTTACCCTATACCAAGACACAAACCAAAACATCCTCCAGAATACTTGCAGTGCCATAGATAATTCCCAAGCCCAGGCCTGTGGAAGCAGAAGCTGGTGAGGGAAAAAGCCACTTGATGAGAAAGAGCAAAGGGCAGAGGTTGAGTTTATCTGGCAGGACTTTACACTGGGTGCCTAGTCTTTGTGTAACTGAAGGGACTTTGCATAAGGGACAAACTAATTTAGCATCTTCCAGGAAATCTGCATTTTTTTCATTTTATTTAAGTTCCTCGTACAGTGACGCACATATTCCGGGAAAAGGTCAACATCAGCAAGCAGTTTAGTGGGTAAATTTTGTTGACGAGTGCCAGTGAAATAAATTTCGTTGATGAATGCCAGTGACCAAAGAAATAAAATGTGGAAATGAGAATGGGAGACTGACCTGCTAGTAGACAGCAGAATTAAGGGAGAGAGGTTTGAGACATGACAGACAAAACCAAGGCAATATGTACTTAAAGACAACAAACTCCCTCAATGCTTATATTGGGTTAAAAATGTATATTAATATGAAAAAAAATCTTCCGAAATTAAAGAACAGTTTTTGGACACTTTGCATGTCTTACAATCTCTGTTATCCACAGTGTATGGTTTGGTAGGTTGTTTTGGTCTTACATGGTACTGAAACACTTAGGCTGGATAATTTAAGGAATTTCACTGGACTGGTGTGTACATTACCTGTGAAAGGCTACTAAGGATATGAATGCCTCTTTTGCCTGTTTCACATGCATACATGGATGTGCATTCACATATGCATGTTTATTGTATGGTGTTGAATAATACATGTGTACAAAAAGTAATTTCAACACAAAATAATGTAATATGGGGTATTTAATTTTTAAATTAATATATAAAATAATAAAAATATAGTGTAGTATAAAATAAGCTCTACTGCATCCAACACCATAGATGAAAACTCAGTTGACAGAGGTATTCTAAACACTGTAAGACTGTTGTAATCCAGCTTCTAAAATTCACAGAATGATGGCTATGTGAGTAGTAATAATTATTATAGTCTTTATATTTCTGTCTGCTCAGAGGAATTTAAAACATAGGACAGAGCTGTGATGGCATAGTATTTTTTCAAGATGATTAAAACTTTTATTAATATCCAGAATTTTTAGATGCTAGAGTAGAAAACTTTGTAATTGAACATCTTGAACAATTTGTGTCTAATTATAAAGAACGCTGTGTAAGCAGAATTTAGTACTTTTTTGGAAGTCGAGGTTAAGGTTAAGCAGGAAGGAAGACTGGGTAATGACTTTTCTGAGGGGAAGAACAGATAAGTTGTACATAAATATAGCTTCCCCAGACAGCCTTTGTGTTCAACTACCTGACCTAACACTAAATTTAAGAAAAGTTCTGGCTGCTAATGTGCAAGATCAGAAAAGCATCCCATTCAGAACTGGCAGCTGTCTGATAATTATGTTGTGGTTGTTCAACATCTGTTTCTTGAAGTAAGTGTTTTTTCACCTAGGCTAAAATACAGACTCCTTTCTTGTTCATAGAGCCTGTACTGTTGGATTGTTTGTGCTTGGATTTCTCTGCTTTACAGGATGTGGGGAATGCCCTCCCCAGTGAGATGAGATGTGTTCAATAGGTGACTCCTGTTTCTGGGTAGCAAGACCTGAGAAAGAAAGAAAGCCCACGATTCTCTATTGGTTGTTCAGAAAATCAAGAATATTTCTGATCTCTGCTTTGGTGTACAGAGCAGACTATTGCAAAAAAAATTGCCTTTCCCTATCAAAGCTGCTTTAAATTACATGTCTTCAATCATTTTAAGTAATCCAGAAGGAACAATTTTAGGGTAAATTTGGAGCTTCCCAAAAAACATAAGGACAACGGCATGGTGTCTCCATTTTTTTGCTTAGTAAATATTAATTTATGACATATCTACATTTGCTAAATATGTGAGAATTAAGTACAAAAAGCAAGTTCAACAATCCAGAGGTTTCTGGTTTTTGGTTGTTTTGGTATTTTAGTTAGCATGTTGGCTCTGCTTGAGTTTCCTGCACCTGCTTGTAAAACAATAGACAATACAACTCCTCCATAATATAACCTTGCAAAATTTTGAAGTGTGTTATAAATAACTTCCTAGTAAGCCAGAACAAGATTAGCATGTTTTTGCTGTTACTTTTCCCCAGCGCAGATTGGAAAAGTTTGTGCACTGGAGTAGTTTACAAGTTGATATCCTGCCTTTGGTTTCATTAAAATGCTGGTTTTTAACAACCCTTTATCAAGTTACTTCCTTTCAGATAAAGGACTCAAGGATATGTATTTTCCCTCATATTTCCCCTCTCCTCCTTCTTTCAAGCTTCAGGAACCAGGACTTTGAAAGGGTTAGGAAAGCTCCCCATTTGAAGAGCTTGGGTACCTAAGGCTTCAGGTCTGGAACACAACAGGATCTGCTCCCTTCTGTGGCACCGCTCCCAGCCCGAGCTGCCCTGGGCAGCGAGGGAGAGTTCAAGGTTCACTTTGTGCTCTCCCACAGTGTAGATGACATTATGCAAACAGCTACATCAAGAATTTATTTATTGATCTTGCTTTTTTAAAGAGGAAATGTAAGGAAAAAAACAACTGATGGTTTAGGGGGAAAAAAAGTCAGAAAGAAGAATTTTGGGTCCTATGAGATAAGTGTCGAACACTGTTTCTTTGCACAGAACACAGGAACGCCAGCTGGCAAGGCATTTATTTTTGCTTCAGAATGTATTTGAACAGTAAACAATTTAATAAACTTTCCTTTTTAGTAGTTTTCAAGCCTTTTCTAGAAGACAGCTATAAATTGTGTGAAAAAGACATGTATAAATTATGTCTCTGGTATGCACAACAGTTTTGTTGAGACTTCTGTGGGTTTTTGTGGGTCTAATAGTAGTACTGACCCCTTAAAACAAAAAAGCTTAATATCTTTGGGTGAGAAAGTGAATTGTATTAACCATCCCAAGTAAATCTTTGCTGGTTTGAATTTGGAGACATCTACTACTTTCAGGCTGAAAAAATGTCTTTTGGAAAAAGTATCTTTTAGTGATCCCCAGTAGAAGAGAGATGTGGAGCTACCAGGCAGAATCGAGCAAAGGACTGTGAAGATGATGATGGGCATTTCTTCTTTGAGGAAAGGCTGAAAGAGCTGGGACTGCTCAGCCCGGAGAGGAGAAGACTCAGGGGGTGTCATCATTAATACATTGAAGGAAGGGTGTACAGGAGAGGCAGCAAAGTGCTTCCCAGTGACAGGACCAGAAGCAGTGGGCACAAACTGAAACAAAGGAGGTTCCCCCTGAACATAAGAACATGCTTTGTTTTCACTGTGACTGAGCCCTGGCACAGGCTGTTCAGGGAGGCTGGGGAGTCTCTGTCCCTGGTATTATTCAGAAGCTGCCTGGACACAGCCCAGGCCACTTGCTCTGGGTGGCTGCGCCGAACAGGGTGGTTTGGAGCAGAAGACCTCCAGAGGTCTCTTCTCAACCATTCTGTGATTCCATGCAGCTATGCTATGTCTTTAAAGGAGTTCTCGTATACTGATTTTCCTCTCTTCTTTTTCATCTTTCTTTTCCAAAGATTTGCCTTATTTGAAGCAGTTGATTGCAAGCCAATCTAAACCTTTAGTCTAGACAGATAAAACTGTTATTTGCAGCTTATCTGACTTGCAGTCATAGCAATTCCACAGGTGCACAGAGCAAGTTCATACTGGATTTATTTTGCCTTCCCTCTTGGCTTGTGCCTGATTTGCATATGCACACTGTCCACCGATGGCTGAAACTTGTGAATCAGTCTGTTTATACAACCTAACATCAGAAGATGTGTCCATGTGGATGCAGTCAAGATTGCTGAGATACCTCACAAAACTTGTTAAGTATCAGAAGCATAATTGCATTAGTCTAGGAAAATGCTGTGCTAATGTGGATAATAACGTCCAAAGTAATTAATTGCTGATGTATATTACTACGCTGTCCTGTGTACGTCAGCCCTGCAGTTGTTGTCCCAGAGTCTGGTATCTGCCCTCATTTTATTTCAACAGACTTCAACTCCACAGGATATAATGTAGGACATAATTGAACAATTTCACTGTTCCTAAAATGAAATAGAAGAAGTAACACTGTTTGTCTTGATAAACCATATCTTAATTGGCTTTGAGGAGGACGATTTCCCAAAAACGAACCTGAGTTCTGCCATTAAAGGAAAAAAAAATTGTTAATGGAAATTGGAAGGAGTTTTCATTTTGTTCCAGCAGAGTTCCTAATTCTGCAGGCAAAAATAGGAGCAATTTTTCATCTGTCAATAACATTCTGCCTGAATCTGGGAGTAATGGCCTTCTGCATCATCTTGTTTACCGCTCCTGGTTGAAAAATGCTACAAATTCAGTATCAGATTAGACAGACACATTTGTTTATAAAGCCTGTGAGGCTGATGGGATACCAGTTTTCCAAGCCATTTATAAATAGCAGTATTTTAGGCTGGGGTAGAGGCTGAATGGGGAAGCTTCAGAGGGAGAGAGTGTAGAGCTGTGACCCAGAGCTGCATTCATGCATGAAATGAGATCTTGTACAGTGGACGTTCTTATTTTGGCTAATGTAGCCGCAGGCAGAAAATTCTCTTGCTGCATTCTTGAAAGAGTTTGTTTTTCTTCCCTTTCTCTTTAACCTTGTACATTAATTATCACTCTGCCTTTTCCGAATGGTAAATTGGTCAATTTATAGGCAGAAAAGTGCATATTCATGTACTTCAGAAACAGTGAGTGAATGCATGCTTTTTCTGCTGGCATCACTGTACACAGAGTACTTTCCTACCCTGCCAGTTTTCCTCAAGAATTTGTGCACTTTTAAAGTGTTATCCTGATGTCTGGGGACAGGATTGTGTATTTGGGGATCTTTTTTTCATTTAAATTTTTGTTCATATAGTCTTCACTTTTGGTTAATAATAGCTTTGCTTTCTCTAGTGAAAACATGGGGAGGTTAATCAGTGCATGCAGATGCTCAATGAAAATTAATGGGAGGAAAAGGTGCATTTAAATTTCCAGTTAAAATCCCATTTAAAAATTAGCTACTTTTAGAAATACTACAACTTTCATGTAAAAGCAAGGGAAAAACATATATCTTGGTACAAAGCCTCTGCAAGAGGGCAGTAAAATCAGTCAGGAATAACTGTTGCTGCCAGGAATGGTTATGCTAGGTGAGTGCTAGGGCACTGGACTGGGCAGCATCTTACACTAAATAGGTGTGGATAAAATACACTCTGAATTAATTGCTGATTCACTATGTTTACTATTAAATATATAAAAGAAAGAACAGTTTAGAAAACAAAATGTTCCTGTACTACTCTTAATATTACAAGAACCTTCAGATGCAAAATTGAGAGTCTTACCAGAATACCTTTTGGTTTCAAAGCAGGTTACATGGGTTTTTCAACCCCAAGCTAGTTTTCAGTGTTCTGGAAACCATTTGTCATCCTCTGAGGAGGTAAACCATGGAAAGAAAAAGAAAAGAGATTGTAGGTAATGTGCCATGGCAGTAATGTCTGATCTACATTGTATGGTTCTGGATTTTGGTGCCTACTGGTGGGATAAAGTTTGAAATGTGCTCTTGGGCTGTTCTTTTGAAAAGGAGGGAAAGAAAGAAGGGAAAAAATTGATTGGTCATTGGCAACACACTAAAATAGATAACTCGGTGCCAAATCTTATTTTGAAACTCTGAAGGGAACAAAACCCTTTAGTTTTCTATGTCAGTACAGTGGTAGTAATGTTGCGAGTTGCTCTGAAGCAATGTTGCAAAAATACATCTGATTTATTCTTTGAAGTACCTGGGGTTTGTGTTGTTGTTTGTACAACTTGCATGTCCTGACAGCTGACTGTACTTGCCTCCTTTGGTCACGGTAACTGCTTCACATTTCAAGTGAAGTTCTCTACCCTGCTGTTTTGATAGATGTTTACTAGGGCTGGCTGTTACATAGGTATTAATTTCTTATATGACAAAATGGGGATTATCACTTGTCTAGAGTAAGCTGTACTCACTGTTATCACTATATTTCAAAGAAGTGTTTAACTTGAATTCCAGAAAAGCATGCAGCACTTAATCTAATTCTCTTGTTCGTCTTCTTGAGTTATATATTCTGGGTATATTGATTTTTTTTCTTTTTTTAATAAAAGTAGTCACCATGCAAATTACTGGAATACAGAAGTGAATCTTGTACCTATCTGTATTTTAGGCCAGGAGAAAAATTATTAGCGCTGCTTAGAAATGTTAACAATTTCTTTTTTTTCTGAAATTAAGTCTTGTTTAAACACTGAGTTTTTATTTGCAAAAAGCTCTTACAGATTTCAGACCTATTTTGGCCAACTCTTGCTGATTTTAGACTGAATTTGGAAATAATTTCCATTTTATTGTTCACTCTTGTTAAAACATAAATATTTTAAGAGGAACATTTATGATCTTCACCCACAACTAGCTCCAAGGATGGTAATAATTACAATGTGTAGAAACACACACTTTGCACTGTACATCTTCTTTACTTAAAGTAGATCTGGTCACAGTGACAGCCTTGACAGCTGTTGTAATTGTTCTAGGGAAGGTGTGGAGGAAAAGCTCCAATGTCACCAGACAAGAAGAAAGAAACCCACAAGAGGGAAGAAGATTGAGGAAATCTGATATATCTGACTTGAAGATCACCAGTTTTTAATTTTAGTCTCTTTTTCTGATATAAACTGCATCCGATTATTAGTTTAGTTTGTGAGTAGATACCTCCTTAGGGGTGGATTTTGGCATAATATTCCTGCTGTATTATAAATACTGACATCACGCTAATCTATGCAAATCACTGCTCAATCAATTTGAGCATCTGTGGTTGATTAAACAAAACACGTAGGTGTGAAAGCATTTGCATCTCACAGGCTCTGCTGGATCTGGCAAAGGCTGAGGGGAGTGTAAAGGCATGGAGAGAGATTTGTCACTGCAATGCCTGCCTGGCAATTTGGAGTTCTAATTGCGACGGGCACAGAGATACCTGCGTGGGCTGAGGCTCTGGAAGAAGAGGAGCTTCAGCCCAGCTGCTTGAAGATGTGAATCCAGCTCAGACTCAGACCTGATTCTGTGACTGCAGTCATGTTAAAGCTCAGATCCATGGGGCTGCAGCTTTCAAGGTTGTGCTGTGGTCACACCCGCGGCCATCCCCGTAGATCCCAAGCTTCCAGGGGTAGCTGGTCACCAGAGAAGCCTTGGGATGGCCGAGCTCCTGCAGCTGGTGGATGCTGAGGTTGGCAGCACTTGAGGGGAACCTCAGGCAAGTAGGAAGTGCCCTCAAGGTGTTCTGTAAGAGGCAGCAAGCACAGGGTACCTGGACTCTGCCAGTCCCTCAGACTTTTATATAATCCATGAGTGGCCACTCTTACATTGCTTTTCCCCAAGTTTGTTTATTCTCTCCTTCTGTTCCCTTCTATGCCTGGGCCTGACCACAGAGAATGGGGGTAATGAATAATAGAGGAAACAGCTTGTGTTGGGTGAGGAGAGAAGGGGAGAAGTGGATTTACTAATAACTGATCAGACGTAGTCATAGTTTGGCTTTTGTTCACTACACAGTGGTAACGCTGCTTGTACAAGGATGAAGAGAACCAAATTGTTCTGTGTCAGTGGATCTCTTTGTGAATTAAGTCAGTGGCATCAACTGTTGAGCAACAGAGAACCCCTCGTCACTGCTTGGGAGGTCCTCAGTGTCCGCTCTGCTGGGCCGGGAGCTTCCAGGAGAGCAGCTCCCATGGGAGGGTTATAATCAGCTGACTTGCTGCACACCCACTGCCTCTTTGTGGAAGCACTTCTGTCTGTATGATGAGAAATCACTAAGGAATAATTCACAGTACTCTGTTGACTCTGAAGTGAAGAAGTGTTCCTTAAAGTAAATACACGACTTAATCAAACTGAGAAAAAGTTATTTAAAGGGACACTATCCTGTGAAACAGCATATTTCCCAGGTCTGAGTCACAGAGATCTAAGGTAGCCAAGTCATAGCACATTTTCACTTCTGGAGAGACATCAGCTCTCTTCAATAATAGGATATTTAACTGAGTTTTACAGGTTTTGAGTTTGTCAGACTGAAGAAGTGGTGAGAGTGAAGAATGAACTGCTTTTGGTCCACCAAGGAAAGCTGAGGTTGTGCACTGGGGCTGGCAGAGAGAGATCTGGTGATTCCCAGAATGATGATGTTCGCCCGGGTGCGGTGTGCTGCTTTCTGATAATTTAGTGCTTTCATAAGAAATGTGTTTCCAAAACTAAAAGTCTGTTTGAGCTACAGTTCCCTTTAAAATAAAAACTTGTTTTTATTTTTTTTCCCCCAGTGAGAGCAGGTAAGTATAACTCAGCTGTGTGCTTGCATTCAGAACTGCAATCCTCCTTCCAAACCTACAATAGCAATGTGAAATTTTAGTATCAAAATTACAAATTGTTCAAGAAAGGCAAGTGAAACGCTTACTGTACAAGAGCCTGAAGTAGCCTTAGTTAAAATGGTCTATTGTCTCTGAACTCTGGACTTCAGGTGAGGGAAGGCATGCACTCTTGTCCTCTTGACTTTCTGTGGATGATGATCTTGACATTGCTTATGCAAAAGTCTTGCTAACTTTCTGATTTTCATATTTTCTCATGGCATATGTTTATTTTCCATTGGAAGCCTGTCTGCTAGCATCCTGAGATTTCAGGAAGATTTCAGCTCTTGCTTTTGAAGAGTGCATTCCTAACATTCCTGAAAAATGCTTAGAAGCTGTAAGTGCTCAGAAATTAGAAGGAAATAAAATGTTGAAGTCCATTATTTGTTTAAAAAAAGTCTGTTTTTATGCCAAATGTGGAATTTTATGGTATCCGACTCATATTCTTGAGTATTTGTTGTTGGCAGTACTTCAATGGGTAGAACATATGGACACTGCTACTACGAGCTTGCCTGTCATAAGTGTCTCAGCAGCAAATACCTTTTATGTCTTTGGTCCTCGGGTCAGGTAGAACTATTGACTTCTTTGCTGTAACAGTCAGAGTGCCAGCTGGGCTGATGGCTTTGTACTGTGGACACTTGTACAATGCACAGAGAGGTGAGATCTCATGCAGGCTGTTCAAAAGCTATCCACTCGCAACAATTTTAACACTGTTCAAGCCGATGCTGATACAGGATATATTTGGCTTTTCATTTCCCTCTCCTAATTCTTATGAACATTCAGTTCATCACTTTTTTTTTTTTTTTATTTAACAGCTATATGGCCAGACATTTTCTTTGGCTGTGTGCAGAATAATTAAGGTCTGTCCATCATTTATTTAACTTCAGCTTTATTGTTCTTTAAATAAGTTTCTCTACATTTCCTTATGGTTGCAGGTACTGACTGTCCCTGGCCACTGTACAGCTGTGAAGTTGCCAGAGAGAATAAATGGGCCAGTGTGTCCACATCTGGCTGGTTTACAGTCCTGTTATAGGGTCGCTTGTACTCTTCTTTCCTTGATTTCCTTATTCTCCTGAGACTGCTGTGCTGAGACTATCAGTCTTTAATGGAGGGATTATAAGAACTGAGAATCACATCTGATATGAGCACTGTCAGTTTGGGGAGGATGATAAAATTTTCATGTTGGCAGCCAAAACACTTGCACCCTTTTCTTCTGCTTTGTGACCAGGACAGTTGCATAAATGTGTTCATGTGTTTATGTACCCCCTTCTTCCACATATGTAAGTGAACAATGGCATTTTGTTTAATCATATTGTTCTGCATTATTCATCCATTACTTAACAGCTCTTGCACACAGATATGATGGCTTTTTGTCCTCCTCTTCCTTGTATAGCTAGCTCTGCCTTAATTTGGAAAAATGACATAGGTGAAAATGTCATGATGTGCCTTCCTGATGCCTCTCCCAACGCCTCTCCCAAATCTTACTGACAGATATATGGTGTAAGCTCTGCTTCTTCATTTAGTATGGATCATGTTGGCAGAGAGATCAAAGAGAAGGAATCTTGGGAGATGCCAAACAATTTTTAACTGGCTTCTTACAAAAGCCAAGGGTGTTATTTATTATATATGCATAAGAATAAAATACTTTTTGTTCCACCTTTCATCACATCCTTCAGTCCTCCTGTGTCACGGCAGAAAATTCTCGAGTTTATCGGGTTGCCATGAAACATGTTTGTGAATATCTTTTAATATATATTTTATTAAACATTACCTTTTTTCTTTTCCTTAGTTAAGCAAATACTTTATCATCCCGTCCTAGTCCCTCTGCCAAAAACCTTTATAGCGGTTCCCTCTGGTGACCAAGCCAGCTTGATCAATTCCTCATTGCTGCCGAGCTCCACTAACAGGGCACTTACAACTACAGCTTTTTTTTTTTTTTTTTTTTTTTTTTAAATTTTATGGCCTGTCTCAAATGATATTTGCCTTGCTTTGCACAAGCTCCAGAGGATACTTTTCAGAATCCTATTTAGATTTGAGTTTTTGGGTAGAATCTATAAATTTGTTAAGGTATGCAAAATTATATTTTCTGTTGGTAGTCCAGCTGCACCTGTTTGAGCACAGGCTGGCTCATGTCAGACCACTGGATCAGGATGGTCAAACAATGCCCAGACGAAAGTCAAAGGGATGCCCAAGTGTTTTCAACTAAGAGATCAACTTTGTTATATTTTTTTCTTGTTTGCTGTCTACCAGAGAACAAATTTGCAGTAGCTAGGAATATTGGCTGTGGTGTTTTGTGTTTTTGTCTGTCTGTGTTTTGAGTCAAAGGACAACAGAACTTGGGATGTGAACTCCAACCAATTCCTGATGTCTAACAGATGCTCTTCTACCCCAGTTTTGCCTTAAGAGTTATTAAGATGCCAGATTCTCTTGGAACTCCAGTAAAAGATGGTATTTTAGCTTGTATAGCAAAGGTATTATTGTGACCTCAACCAAACCCGTATGTTACTTCCAGTGCATTCTTGTATTAGAGTTCAACATGTCATTGATTTAGGCTATGTTATTTTCCAGAGAACAAAATGCCATTTGTTATTGCCAGGAAGCATTGAAAAAGTGTATGGGGTATAGAAGGTGTTTTATATAAAACTGTTTTATATATAACCTGCTTAACGTGTAGTTTCCTTGTCCTTTATTACCCCTCTTTTCTTTTTTTTCCTTTGCTCTGTGTTTATTTTTTAGGCAGATTCTGCTTTTTATTTGCAGAAGTAACTGAGGAATATTGATTCTTGTCTATGTTGGCATGACAGTTCAACCTCTTGGAAATATCACTGAAGTAAGAAATTAAATCCAAGCAGTTAGATTCTTACTCTCTTCATCCTCCACTGAGTGCTTTAAGAGCCCAGACTTTTTATATAAGCAGCTGAGGGGAGGCAGAGTCGCATTGTTGTTCCCCTGTAGCTTCCAGATGGTGAGGAAAGTCCCAGGAAAAATGTAGGACCAGCATGTTCTGTCAAAGTCAAGCTTGTGTCTAGACAGGGAAGCTTATGTAAGGCAGCAGGAGAGGAAGGGGCCTTGTGTAACTGCTGTCCCTGGCAAATAAACACTCCCTACAGTACCACTCATGATTTGGCCCATAGAGGCTGACAGCAAAATGCAATTTGGTGCTTTTTTGTACTTAGCTTGCTCGGACTTGCAGCTGGAGGTCGTTCCCTTGCTTTGGCGTTTTTTTTTCAAATGCATGCCTATCTTCCAATTATTACAATCTTACTAAAGGCTTTACTCTTCCCCCTTAAGCTGAACCACTTTTCCAAAGAACCCATATACACCTGCTCAGCTAATTTAAAACAGATATAGCAAGTTACCAATTTTAAATGGCCTTGAGAGGTTGTTGATGGCATTTGGCAGACAATGCAGACAATATGCAAATCACCAGAGGCGGCATGGAGTCTTGTTCATGAAGATAAATTCTGCCGTAAGGTAGCTTTCTAGTTTGACTTTGAAAAAGTATGATGTAAAATTAAGCTTGTAGTATTCTATTAAATGCTTCAGTCAGTGTATCTCAGTACCTTATGGGGACCTCTGGCACCCCTCTAGTGCTCAACTTACCCTGCACCTACATTTTGTTTTGATTTTCCTCCAGCTGAATGCAAATCTCTGCCAGTGAGTGCTTTCTGGTTTACTCACCCTCTCATAACAATTCTCTCTTGATTTTGGAGCTATTGTTAAAGGTGCTCTGTGTGTTTATTTCTGCCATAAAAATGTGAATACCAGGAGGAAATGTTTTTTCCTTTTGATTTGGATACAACCTTTTCGGCACTCCATGTTCTGGCTTAGCTTGGTTTCTCGGGTGTTACCCTTAGCTTTGCTCTTATCTAAGCGCTAAATTTTCTCAATGTAGCTTGTTGGTGCTTTGTCCTCAGGCAGACTGATTTCTTGGAGGCAGGATCGAGAGCCAAGAGCTCGGCTCCTTCTGTTCACCGAGGCCGTTATTACAGCCACCTTGCAGTGAGGACACAGGCCAAGTAACTTGAGGGTCAGTAATCCTCCAAAGCCTTCCCACCATTTTGGCTCCCTACTTTGAATGCCCATTAGCACAGACAGGTTTCTCCTGAAAAGGCATCTTTGGGAAGGTCGGCTTATGGAGATGCGTGCAGTGGTGGGATGTGTGGGTTGTGTTAATGTGAGAGAGAAAGTAGTGACTGGAGTTTGGCTGTTCACGGGTGTTGTCTGCACCTGGGAGAAAGTCCTTCAGCAGTATTTGAATATGGTTTCCAAACCCTGAAGTAGGTCTGAGTGATGGTTTGCCCTTTAATAATATGACTTTTTTTCCTTTCCTCATTGAATGTAGCTTTGGTCCCTCCATTTTTTTCCCTTACTAGAGCATGTCATGTAGTTAATCTCTTCATAACTTCAATTTTGAAAACAATTTAATACAGTTTTGTGGCCTTTCTGACACCTAGCTCTTTTTCCTAGACAGACTAGATATTTAGTTCCACTCCTTTTATTACAAACTCAAGGAAAATATTACTTTCTGGAGGAAAAGAAAATGGGTACTTTTTCCTTGCGAAAAGAAATTTGTATCGTGGCTCAGATTTATTGAATAATTTTTTTTGGCTCCATACTGAAAGCAGAAGCCTGGCTAAATTATTTTTATGCTCTCAGGTAGAGCATTAATTGCTCTATGATGCTGCATACTCCACTTCAGAGTAATGTTCTTTCCAAGTTCCTGAAGAATTATTTCTTAAAGCTACAGAATGATTTTTAAATGGCCTTTATCTTGGTGTGTCTCTTTTTCTCTCTCCTTTTTTTCCCCCCTTCTCCATTAACCACTTGAAATAGTTGACAGTTTTTGAAACTTTATTTAAAATGAAGTTGCAGACATCTCTGTGAAGAGTAAAACTACTGGCTTGGTCAGAGGGGAATACTAACTGTGCCAAGACTCACCCATGACTCTACAGGTGAAGTTACCTTCTTGAAGTATTTACTGCCCTTGTGAGGGAGTCAGCTGCAGAAGGACAATTACTCTTTTCCACATATATATTCTGGGAATGGGAGCATACCATTTGGAAAAGAAAATGTTAACTTATCTCAATGTCTCTAAACTTCAGATTAGTGCTCAGAAGCACATGTGTAGAGCAGAGCTGCTCCCTTTGCCACCTTGGCTGGGGAAATTATGGTTATGATGCATGCCCAAATATTTCTTTCCTGCACTGAGGTCTAAGAGTGAAATAACTGTGAAAGGTTATGCCAATGTTTCCTGATCTGGTAATACCCCGCTCCTTTGGGAGGACTAGAGGGCTGTGCCAGCCATAGAGAAGGGAAGTAATAGTGATGACTTGGTGTATTGTCTTAAATTAAATTAATGTGTGTTCAGAGACTGATGTATTGCACTGAGTCAGATCAGTGACTCCTAGGCACAGTTAGTTTCGTTTGGAGAGGGGCAGGGGGCTACTAGGAATAACCCTGGCTTAAGCAGAGAGGAATGTAAGGAACATTCTACCTCATGCACTTTTTTCTTTTGGTGAGTTTGCTTTTTGAGTAGTACTCTTGTTCTTTTGATCATGTCCTTGAGCACCTTCCCCTTGTGCACGCCTTTCTGCCCCATTGCCTTCCAAATAGTTCCTGTGACAGCAGATACCCAGACTGAAAATGTTTGCCATAATTCATAAGTCAAAGTACTTTCAATCCCAGAATAGAGGAGACTGCATGCAGACTTCATTACACAGTATTCATAACATAAACAAGCCTGCAATTATGTCATAGCAACAAGCACTGTGCTTACATGAAAGTTGGATTCAGGTCTCCAAGAGTGGAAGACCTTTGCGTCCAAAATATCACAGCGACCTACTTCTCTGAAAGAGTGCCCTACATAATTTCAGAAATTAGATATGACACCAATATAGTAGGCCATATGGTGCTTTTTGCTGGTGTAGGGTGAACAGTGGGATATTCTTGGGGCCCCACAAACGTCTGTCCACTCACTAGGTGAAGTCAGCTCATTATTAGTTGGGGTGAGGTGTGACGTTTGTTTTCCTGATGTTGTGAGGCAACAAATTCAAACTGCCAATTGTTTTAAAAAGGCATTTTCTAATAATATGGGTATGATCCTAAAAAGTTTTAACCTTTTTTTTTTTGGACCAGTACTGTCTGCCTTTAGTTGCTGCTGAGAACCTGAGAGTCTGCACCTAAAATTATTTAGACAGCTCAGAACCTACTTCTCAATAATTTGTAGGGAGACCGTTTCCCAAGGGCAGTTAGACATATTATCTGATCTGATCCTGAGCTGCCAGAGCAGGATTATTTATTTTTTTTGGTGGTGCTTCCCCAGACTGGCTGTAGAAGTTGTTAGGTGTGTGTGATGTGTGCTGCTGGTGTCCCACCTACCAACGGGGATGCAGCAGGTGGGGGTGATGGTAGGGCCATTCCTGAGGGCATGGAAAAGGACGGTGAGAGGAGCTGGCAGAGGACAAGCTGCAAACTCTGCTCCTTGTTGGCAGTGGAGCTACCTCTAAATTTCAGTTGTCAACACATTGAGATGGCAGAGGAGGTTTCAGGACAAAACGGTACCTTATTTAGAAATTGGGAGGTTTTGTGATCTGGACTTTTCAAGCATCTGGTCCATGCTGGATGGTTTTGTCTATGACAGTAACTTACTGAATTGCTGTGAAGTAATATCTCTTCCTGGCATGGCATTCACTTGTTATTTACTTATTTACATACAAGCATCATCATAGAAATTGTATTTGCAACTGAAAAATAAAAAAGAATACCAAGCAATCTTGTTTCAGCCCTTTCTCCATAGTTTCTGTATGTTTTTTCCTCTTCCTTTGATGGGTTTTTTTTCTTTTCTCTTTATTATTAAAAATAATATCTTTGGAGTCTGTGCAAAGTGAGCTTTTCTGCAGTGCTCATTCTGACAGCAGAGTTGTTTTTCTGAGGACTGCCCACACTTCAGGTGTCTGCTGCATAGGTTTTCTGTGTAATAACTCTGGTGCCAATCTGTCGACCTCGGCTAACCCACCTAATAAAGTTCCTGCTGAAAAGAAGCAGCGCTGCTGTGGGTACACTGAGGCAGCTCAGGCGATGCCACTTGGCCTGTGCACAGGGCAAGGCTTTAAAAGCAAAGCACAATGCATGGGCCACGAAGTGTGCTGTGGGGGTGTCTAGAGTTCCTCCCAAAGGGGGCTGAGCAGGCATGGCAGGCTCCTTCACACTTCCCTCCTGCCAGCATGTGCGAGCACTGCAGGTGGTTATCGCTGCAGACACGCTGGCATCCCTTACAGCTTGGTGTGTGTGTTTATTAGGTGGCATCCATGGGGATAATCTCATTTTGGCTTTTAACCGTAAGGTAAATGTTCGGTGACCTTGGGGCAGTCTGTGCTCACACAGCACTGTGCGCTGTCAGCTACTTGATACTGGCGGTGATGGAGCTCCTGGCAGAGGCCCTGAGGTGGGAGCCCTCATTGTCTGGGGGCTGCCGTGTTTGCTGACAGACAGGAGTATCTTTGCCTGCTGCCAGCACAGGAGGCACCTGCTGATTGGAAACTTCTTTTATCACAATGTTTAATTTGCTGTCTCACAGCTTTTGGAAGGAGAAGTCTTTCATCTCTCGAGTTTGGAAAGGAGTGATATGATTATATTAAGCAGATGATGCCTATCTGCAGCTGAAAGGGGTTTGGTTTGGTTTGGTTTGGTTTGGTGGGTTTTTTTAAGATGGCAGTTACAGTAAAGTGCAGTGCAAGCGGCTGAACTGCAGACATGAGATGAGTCAGATCTGGATAATTGCACTCCTTAGAGCGTGCCTGGGCTGTCCTGAAGGTTCCCTCTCTAGAGATGTCTGGTTTTGCTCCTTGCTCCTCTCTGGACCAGCAAGAGAGGCTGAATAACTCTGGTGCAGCTGTAATGAGTAGCACTGTAGGGTGGACTGGTTTGGGTTGGTTTTTTGGTTTTGAGGGAAAGCTGCTGTTTGCCCTGATGGAGCTTCCTTAGGCTTGAAACCAGCATAAACGCTATAGGACAAATAGCACCTAAGATGTTCCTGCTGCAGTGTTCAACCAGAATCTGTGATGGTGGTGATTGCCAGCAGATGTCTACTATGCATAAAACTTTAGCCCCTGCACTGATCTGACGTAGATTTTTATTATATTTTATAGGAAGGTGGCATGCTTATGCCATTTTGCAAATACTGTGGTCCTTTTAGACTTGTATCTATTTGTTGTGTCATAAAATACATGCCCTAAAACTAGTGCCAGAACACTGAACTCTCTTTGAAGAATGTTTTAGGGGTGGACATATAATTTGAGCTGATAACCATGGATGGTTGTGATGATTAAAATACCCCTGAAGGTTAGAATCTGTCTCATTGATTATACTGGGTAGTGTTCCTGGGTGGCAATGCCAGTTCAAATGGCATTTGGACACAAATGTTTCTTCCCTTAGTGTTGTATAAGCAGTGCTGTTTTAAAAAGAGGTGGTTATGTGAATTGTTGGGTTTTGTTTTTCTTTGATACAAGTGAGTTTGTTTTCTCTGTGCTTTGTATTGTGTCTGGAATTCAAACTAGAGTAGGAAAATAATAAAAGGTCAATGACTTTCAAGCAAAGAAGAAAGGACTGCTGAATTTTGAGTGTGGTGGGTTTACTTGGGGTTTTGATATTCTTTTAAACTGAAACACCAACTTCTCTTACCTATTTCCCTTCTCTGATTCAGGAGGGGAGTACTTCACCCTCCAGCAAATATATATATGTACCCAAAGTCCCCTGGGTCCTAAGGGGTTGTTACCTATTCCATTTTCTCTTTGCTGTTGCTGGAGGAAATGAAGTGATTTGGCTGGCCAACCACTCCTTGTTTTTAGTATTTCCACAGCTGCTGGCCAGCTACTTCAGGTTTTTAAGGTTAATTTGACTTCACTCTTCAAGACAACTGGCAGGAATGTGGGAAGGGTGTGGGATGTGGCAAGCAAGTCTGCCAGCTTTCTTAAAGCTGCAATAACAAAACCCAGTATAATCTTGAAGGTCATATTGCAGCTTTTCCTCTGCTGTCGTCCAGGAAGGTTTTGGGGGCCTAAGGGAGTGAAATGTCTCACAGAGATTTTTTCTAATTAATGAGAACACTGTTGTGAGGAAATCAATTTTATTTTAAGGTTGTTCTGCGTTTATGAGTTTCGTTAATATGGTGTCATCATATGAATAATGTATAGACGTAGCACATTGTTTATGACCACCTGTGCACGTGGGTCTGTAAATAATAAAAGGAGAGAATAAATGGAGAGAATCTCTCAGACATGCAGTAGGAGAATGCAGTTCATTAAGAAGTCACTGGGGACAAGTAGCTTTGTGCTTCAAAGTAGCCAAGATAGTTGCATAGACACAGTGAGGTTTAGTATTAATTAAATGGAAAGTAAGAGTTATAGATGGTAGAAAAGAATGGGTTTGGTGCCCTTTGCTCATGGAGAAGCCATTTTATCAGACCCACAGAGTTTAGAGCCTGAAGGACTACATTAGATTGACTAGTTTGAGGATGTAAGAGGCTGTGGAATTCCATGTATGTGGTGTTCATAATATAGACACCAGAGGTGTTACTTGGAATAAATTGTCACATGCCACATTCAGAAAAGAAGTCAGAACAGAGATCACATCAAAACTTTCATATGCCCATCTGGATAAGCTGAGATACAGGCTTGAACCGAGTGATTCAAAGACTTGGCTAAAAAGGAAGCAAATGCGTCATTAGACTGCTACAGGAAAATTCCTGTAGCGTTCCAGATCTGGGAGGTGCTGCCAACACAACCAGGTACAGCCATAACACCCGCGAGATAAAGCACCGGAGAAGTAAAATGATCTGTGTTACTGTGGAATATCGTTCCATCCTATCCAGTAACTTGCTGTGGCATAGCACTTTGGTCTAATGTGCAGAAGAAAATAAAACTGGGATGGACTCCTGCCTGGTGGCCAAAGGTCTGAACTGTGTCACTGTTGCCTTATGCAGAGCAGTGGGTATTAGTAGCAGCTGCCTGTGGTACTGTTAATTATCTGCCTTTGGTTTCATACAGTAAGAGGTTCAATTGGGGGGGATTCACGGGTTCAAGGGGCAGAACTGATCACTGTAATTATTCAGCTTGACCTTCCCTGTTAGACATTTAGTTGTTCATATAAGTTAGTGGAAAGCCTATTTTTTAGAGAGAAATACAATATTCAAGACTCCACATGATGGTCAGTACCATGTGGCAACCTTTCCAGGTTTTAATTACCCACCCTACTAGAGAATTCATTTGTAAGTCATGATAATTTATTCTAGATAATAAAGCCATTGGGGGTATCTGTCCTTTTAGTAAGTGTTTTTACAGTGTGTGGTACAAAAGAATCTCTGATGGGAGCCTTGTTGTCCCCAGAATGCACAAATAACTTGTTAAATGGGGAAAAGCAAACTGTGTTTCTCTTCATTTGGATAGTCTTAAAGAATATAAGATTGGGGAGTTAGGTTCCTTGGTGCAGTGATTTCTTTTTCTTCCCTTGTATTTCCTCTCCTTATCTTATAGGCTATATGGTGATATTTTCAGTGAGGGATTGAGCATTGTTTTTCACTTCTGCTGTTTTCTGGGGCTGGCACTAAAAGTGTTCCCCTTTTTCAGTTTGTCAACTGCATTGACAAATTACCCTTTGGCAAAGAATACAGCATGGTAATTTTGGAGTATAACTTTTCTATCAGTCTGGCTTCCTTTATTTCTGCCAAGGGTATTGCTGGGAAACTCAGAGATATGGCTATGTATTTTTGTAAAAATGCTAATAAGAATGTTGATCCTTGCAAAAAAAAAAAAAAAAAAAAATTTCCTGGTCAGGCAAAGGAATAGTTAAAGTCTGGAGGAAGTATGCAGCACGACTGCAATGACTGCATGTTTGTCTGATTTGGGGCTGCTGAAATATTATCTCATATAGATTGGGACTAAGAAGGTGTTAGGCTTTTTGAATCAGCTGCCAGTGGCTCTAACAGGCTCTTGGAAAGCCAAGGATTAGTCAGATGGAGGAATGTCTTGGCCAAAACTCTTTTTTCTCTGGCTAAACCCACTCCCTTGGCAGCGATGCATTGTATTCTTATAAAAGCTGCTGTGGAAGCTTGAGGCCAGTGCAAGATTTTGTTATGAATATTGGATCCTCCTGGGACTAGTTAAAGTAGATGGAGAGCTCCTTTTTTCTCTGGAATATAACGGTGAATATGGGCCATTTCTAGGACATTCTGTTTCTTTTATGAACCTGCTTCTCCAGATTCCCCTTTTTGTTTATCCAATCAGTACAAATGACTTCTTGACAAGGTTCCCAATTCTTGACAAGGTAAGTGGTTTTGTCTGTCATGCATATAGCAAAGGACTGATGGCTCCAAACAATAGACATGTTGTTCCCATCTCAAGATGTCAAGTGCAAGCGTCTTTCAGCTGTGATTACTGGCATGCTGTCTTTGGTTCCATCTGAGATCTCTTAATCTTTCCTACAGTTGGGAGGACAGCTTGCAACAAAACATTACCTAGCAACTAAAATGCCTCAGGTCGGTTTGGGGAAAGCAACAGAAGAGTTGTTATTAATCATGCTGAGATGATGCATTGTGGTTTAAAAAAAATGGAAAGGAAAGGCCAAATTAAATATTGACATTTAGTATATTCCAACTGTGTTAGCTTTCACTTTGGCTAACATGAGAATGTATACTCGGTGAAAATGGGAAATAAAAACACCTGTCTGTGTTCTCCTGGATATAACAAAGTGAAATAAACCCCCCAAACAACAGTGATCTGTTGTTTGGGGATGTTGCAGGTGTAGCCTTCAGAATCTGAGAGACTGAAGAGACTTCCGTTCTAGTCCTAAGGGCTACAGCAGTTTGATTGTCAAGAATAAAGGGAAGATTGTTGTCAGTGGAAACCATTTTATTTTAAATTAAAACTTTGATGAACTCGCCATGTTGAAAAATGGTTTTAACAAACATATCGTAGTAGTGAAAGACCTGAGACTTAGCAGCAGCCTACAATGTGCTCTATTTAAAGAGTAAATTTTGGTGCATTTCCACCTGATGAAAGCCTGACTGCACTTTAGCCATCTCAGCTCAGCGGCAATAGCTTCACAAGTCTATGTTAGACCTCAGCACAACAGATCTCTGTGGTCCTCCTGTCATACGCTGAGTGCCACTAAAGATTCTAGAGAAGGGCTGGTATCATGAGCTGTTATGGAAAATAGGAGTGTAAAATGTGATAGTCTATAACCGTGTAGGAAATAAATGTGGTCAGCAATAAGGTATTTTGATGTTAAACCACACTGTTCTGGAACAGTTGGGGAACTTTCCACTTGGCGCTTTCTCTCAGAGGTGGCAATTTGGAGCCGATCCGTGCGCTGCGGCGTGGGTAGTGTGAGCAAACAGTGTCACGAGTGGGCACGAGTGGGTGGTTGAAAGCATCATTCACATTTTTTCTCCATATGATCTTCTCTGAGCTGAAATGGTGCCAAATCAGTCGGTATGGTTCTACTGAAGCCATTATTTTCCTGGTGGTAACTCGTCACTGTGCCCATCCTTTCCTGCATGTGCTACCTGCAGGCAGTGGGCAAGGGGAGCACACAGATCTGTGGAAGGACAAGAGGAATCGCAGAAAGGGCTAAAATAATCTAGTATTCATTTCTATCACACCTTTAAAGTTAATTCATTAGTTGAAAGATAATTAATTTGAGGTATAGCTGTCAATGGCCTTTTGAAAATTAGAGCTCTATGCTAACAAAAAATTACTATTTGTTTTTTTACTGGTTTAAGAAAACAAATGTCTTGTCTCCATCAGCCTAATGAACAACTTTAGGTTTGCTACTTCCCATGAATTAATTTGTTCACCTTCTGTTTACCGCCAGGTTTTACTGCCTGTGTGTGCAAACCTGAAGCCTTTAAGCAGAACAAAAAGAAAAATTATTCCCCGTAGATTAAAGATTGCTTGGAGATGATACAGGCTTGTGTAAAGTTTTGGAGTGATGCATACAATGTTCTTGTCAGGGTTCTTTTAAGCTGTTGCTGTATCCTTGTAAGTGGTTGAAAAATGTCTTTCCTCTGGTAATAGCCATAGTTTGTAGGTAATGGCTTGTCAGAAACACTGATGGTTCATAAAGATTAGCTATGTGAAAATGTTTGCAATGCTTTTTCTTGCTTGTCTGCTACCCTGAGGGTACAACAGAGGAACACAAAAGAGGGGCTGGGGAGGAAGCAATCAAGGTATTTTTTTAAGAAGTGATAAATTGTAATTCGGAAAGTCCTGGAAATCCACATGATAGAGACATGTGAAGAAGCCTTCTCAAATTTGAATCTTGCTCTAGTTCAGGGCTGTCTCAGAGAAATCCCCTCACAAGTTTTTCATCAAAGATATGTGGTGATAGATCAGGTGTAGTAGGATTTTTAAGAAGGGTAGAAAACTAGTTGCATTGCTTTCACAAAACCTCAACATTAAACAAAATGTGTGGTTTTATGTGAAGGAAGTAATTAGGAAATATCTTGTGTTTGGTATTGCCGCAAAGTTAGTTAACAAATTAAGAAACAATTTGAATTTTGGACTTTTTGTGCTATTATCACTGGGAATTGAATGGTGTATTGATGCTCTGAAAGGCAACAGGCCAATCTCAATACAAGTTTTTTCATGGATCTCTGGACTTCTATGTAGTCTGAACTGGTGCAAAATTGATCTTGAAGATGGACTGAGAAGCTAAACTGCACAGGAGTGTGAACCACAGAAAAGATGAGGCATAAGCGTGCTGTGAAAAAGAGTTTACAGCTAATTCAATCTTGTAAAAAATTTCTGCCACACTTGGTAAATAATTTTTTTAGGGAAGTATTCCAGTATTTCAATTTTTAAGTTGTCAAAACATTTCATTTCAGAATTTTTAAAGTTTTAAATTTCACATATTTTTTTACAAGACAACATATGTTGGAAAAGATTTAAATACTGAATAACAAAAGAGCTTTTCTTTGTTTGTTATTTACTTAATTCACTATCTTCAGCTGCCTGATTTCTGTTTGAGTTGAAGGGAGCTGACTATTTGTTTTTTGTAGTCTCATGGGTATGATGCACAGTTAGAACATGGCAAATAAAAAGCTTCTCAGGAAAGATCCATCCACCTGATCTTCAGTAATTTTGATTTAGGAAAGCCATGTTAGAGGCTCTTTTATTTCCTCTTCTTCTATCTTCTTCCCGCTTTGCTACTGTAACAGGTTGGGGGAGGAAGGAAGTTTGGCAGCCAGCAGGAATAAGAGTACTTGTCACCACTTTTAGGGGGTTTGAGAGAATTTCTTAGGCAGATTGGAGGGGAGAGTGTAAAGTTCACATCAGCCTAGAGGTATGTGTGAGATTTGTTGAGTGACTTTGCTGGTCGATGCCCTTAGTGTACACCCTGTAGTCAAAATTCTCTTGTTTCTAGTTTGGTGTTTTGGTTTGTTTTTTTTTTTTTTGTGTTTGTTTTTTTGGTTTTTTTTGGTTTTTTTTTACTAAATTCTCATGTTCCTGTTGTATCTGTCATACCTCCTTTTCCAGTTATCAAAACCTTTGCTCAAAGTTGCCTGATACCTATCTTCCAGCTGTGGAGCTCTGCTGTGAGTTCCTATGCAGTGCCAAAGAAGAGAACCTTTTATTTTTCCTACATCCTAAAGGTACCCTGCTGTCTGCCACCTCATCTGACTGTCACAGCTGCCCCAGTGATCACAGAGACCTGGCCGTGGCTTTCCTGCTCTGGCTGCTTGCACCCACAAAGTGTCATGGAGAATGGGGCATGCCCACCAGTCTGTCCCTGCTCCCTTTCTTTGGCTTGGCAGGACACCCTGGAGCAGGGTTTTGTCTCAAACTTGGCCTGTTCAGTGCAGTGTTAACTCTCTGCAGAGCTGAGTTCTGCCTGGGACACTCCTTTTTCCAACTCTTTCTCCTGTTTTTTACATAGCTATCATTTTATTAAATAAGTTCAGAAACACTCATAGGAACATGGTCTTCTTGTTGGCATAACTATGAAAATTTATTGAGCCTGGGCATCCTTGGAAAGGCCAAGTGTTGCAACAGGAATCTTGTCAGAGTTGTGTCTTCTTTTTATCCTGTCATGGGAGTTTGTCTCAAGCGTAGGAACTGAAAGTGGGTAAGTCTCTGCTAAGAACCTCTCAAGGGAGCTTTCAGACAGAAGGAGAGAATGAGGGACTTAAGGGCATAAAACTGAGGTATCATCAACCTGTCAGGGTACTGGCACTCAAAAGCAGCTTTCCTTGATTACTGTCTATCAGTGACATCATGTCTTAAAACTGGAATTGCTGAAAATAATTCCACCCTTTAAAATGAAATTGTCCCTTATAAACATGCTACCTTGAGGGACCTAGAGATGAGAACCTGTTTTGTTGGGTTTTTGGCAGCAAATAGAAGCAGGCGAGGACGTGTGTTAGCACTTTGGTGTACAGTGCAATCTGGTAATGTCCAAAACTTGGATACCATTACTGTTTTGCAGCCAGCACATCCAGCCTTTCTCTAAACAGACACATTCTTCTGCTACAAAATATTGAAAATTTATTTAAATGTGTCACCTGTCAAATCTGTGCTGGTCTTTTTTTGCCAGAGCATGGCCTCGGTTGAATATGAGATATGAAAACATATTCCTATCAGGAAAAGCAGTGTGCAGGGCACATGTATTACCTTTGTCTTGTCAGCTCAACTAGCTAAGGCTTGGTGGGCAGAGTGTTGGTTCCAGTACCACCAAGCCTGCAGATTTTATTTTATGCTTCATAGTGAGGGGAGATGTTTTCCCTTTCAAGCTAGATTTCTGTGCCTGCCCATCCCTAATATTGAAAATGGGCTTCTTTCTTCATGCTCTGGCTTGTAGTCAGCTTGAGAATAGTCACCACATTCTTGCCAAACAGAGTCACATTTCTTTCTAGTTCTGAAAAAGGGCCCTGGTTCATTCTCTGTCTCGGGTTTGTCAAACATCTCTGGTATCCAGTGCACGTGAGAGGAAAGAACACATGCCTTGCCTTGGTCAGACAGTTTTTATAAGTTTCCTCCATTTCAGTTCTTGCTGTTTGCCAAAAAGAGTTGTCTGGAGGAAACGGTGACACTTTCTGCCTCTCCTCTTCATGTAGTTTTTAGCCTTCCTTGACATAAAATGTTCCTGTTGTGTTTTTGAATTGCTGGTAGTGATGAACCAGAAACAAATTTGTAATAGAAATGTGATGCCTGAGCAGTTTCTTCAGCAGAAGCTACAAAGAACTTGTTTGAAATACATGTATATAGTAAAAGTGAGTAAGTCTGTATTGTATCTGCCCTAGATTGGCTGAACCCCACAGAAGCAAGTATATTACTTTCATCTGGTAGGGCATGTATTTTAAATTAAATCTGGTGCAAGGAGTGGTTATGGTGGAAACAAATGGAACAACATGGTTTGAAAAGAGGACATGTTCTGAAGCACAATGGAGTGGAGGGAAGAACTGGAGTGCTGTTTTCAGTGTGTGGATGCTGATCACAAGTGGTAACAGATTTTAATCTGAAATACTTGTCTATATACAGGTATCAAAGGTAAAAGAATGAGACCCTTATCCTCGCCCTCTTTGATGTTATATGATTTAAAATATGTGCTGACATTCAAGACATGAAAGGTAGGACAAGGAAAAAATGTAGTTTTAATGCAAAAAGTTTGCTAGCAGTTTTCAAATATTTTGGTCAGTTTTAATACTGAGAAGATTGTTTTAAACACAGTAAACTTCTGAACAGAAGAAAATAACCACGTTTGATTTTACACAAAATTCATATAATTGTCCACAGCAAGTAATAGAAGTATAAATTAGTGTTTTGAAAGGTGGAATGCAAACATCTGCATGGTGGGTCTGAACTGGGGACTTGCAGGTGGGTTCTGACCAGGGAACTGGTCACAATGTGAGTGTGTCCCACAGATGGGGCTGAGAGACCTCCTCAGAGGAGAGGGGGTGTTCCACCTGAACTCCAAGCTGTCTCAGTCTCTGCAGACTGGAACAAGTTTGCATGAAACTGTCTTGGAGTGTGATAGCTTCAAAAGTGTGATTGTACCCATTATGCTGAGAAACCATATTTAAAATTGATATGGAGATTATTTAGGTGGTTGGAATCTGCTCCTCTGGAGAGACCTCATGAAAATGGAGGAAAATACCTGTTTGTCTTTATATTTGAGACTTTTACAACTGAATAAAGGCAACATTAAGACTTTGAAAACTTTTATAGTTGCCAAAACCAAATTTTTGCCCTTGTCTCTGTTTCAAAGCAAATATGACCTTACAACAAGCACTGTTGTATCCTCAGGATATTGTTTTCACGTAGACTGTAGAGCTCAAAAGCAAATGATCTAGAAATGGAAAATGTGGTATATTTGGCAGACTTTGGGGGAATTTATTTTTTTTAAGGTGCAGATAGTTGGTTTTGGTCTAACTGATAGTGAAATGAGAGCATGATTAAGGTCAAGAATGAGTCACTTTGAGCAATTCTTAGTTTGCAACCCTCTGCTCAGATCAGAAGTTGATGTTCTCTTTTATCATTAAACCTTTCCCTCACAACTCTTTGCTCATTTTGGAGCCACTATGTCATGGAGAATTCATTCATGTTGTTATTCCTGCGGGATTGTTCCACTTCTCTCTTGCTACTGTTTGCAGGCTTTCGTGCTCCCGACTTACTTTAAACATCTCTTAAGTTTTAGAGCTCTGGCTGTGTTTGTGAAGCTCTGGGACAGACAGACTGACCCTCACTTCTTGTTTATGTTTTCACTTTAACCTTTCAAGATCTTTGCTTGGGAAGAGAGCAAAGAGGGTGAAAAGATCTCTCTGCCTGTTTGCTGGGCAGTGTTTTGTGAGAAGTTTTGTTTGATGGAGGTTTTGTTCATGTTTGACAGTCTGAGAGAAGAGCTGGCTGTGTCAATATGCAGGTAGAGCAGAAGCACTTGTGGATGACCACAGTGTTGCAATACTGAATGGAAGGTGGGTTCTGTGGTACAATAAGGAGTGAAAAACATGTGCTGTGAGTGGAAAAGGGGATCTAATACTACATAAATGGAGTAGAGGAGATAACTGCACAGACAAATGCCTGGTCCTTCATAAAGAAGATGAAAGGACAAAGTGTTCAGCAGTGAGTGTGGGGAGGAGTGTGAGGGGGGTGAAGAGTGCTGCAGTGTGAAGTCTGCCTCACCTGGAGCCCTGTGCCCCCTCTACCCTCAGCATTAGCAGGTAAACTCATGCATATTCATATCAATAGAAATAATAACAATAATGAAAATTGGTAGCAAAATCAAATTAATGTGGTCTCCTGCAGCAGAAATATTTACCCGATGTGTCCTGCCAGTTACAGAGATTGGCATTAAACCTAGACATTACCTCATCTTCCTGGGCAGACAGCCTATTTCTATGCTAAGCAAGTCTGCAGGAGTGAACAACTGAATACCTGCCTGATTAGCTGTGCAGCAGCAGATCCTGGTTAGAAGTGATTTCCCTCAGTGCTTTCTCTCCCTTTTGCTCGCACGCTTACTCTCTGCAAGGTTTGTCATCGTGCCTTATCAAGCGATGTTCTTCATCTTGAAGGGCACGTTGCAGGGGAGATTGGCCAGACAGGTGGGCTAGTATAAATGCTGAACCAAATCAGAAAGGTCAAGAAAAACACAAGGAAAAAAGTGTGTGTATGTATGTGTATCTGCCTCCCTGTCTCTGCATGAGTCGGTGCCAGCTAGGTGAAACTGGATTAATGAGGAAGGGAGAGATAAGTGCTAAGAGGATTGTGCTATAAAAGGAGATTTTGGGGTTTTGAGAACAGATGAGGGTTTCTTTATGAAAACTTTAATTGGCTACCTTAGATAATTTCTTTAGCTTTGTTCCTGGGTGGTAAATCATAAGTTTCCTGCTGGGTGTAAAATCATAGCATAATTATGATAGTTGGCCTGTGCAGAGTGTCTTCTATCACAGACTCCCAGCATGCTGTATATTCCTTAAAAAATTAAGCCTCATAATGTATTTCAGACAAGTAGTCTGACAAGTAGTAATAAAAATAGTAATAGGAAAAAAAACAAAGTGGAGGAAAAAAAACCTCTAGCAAAAACAACAGTTGCTTTTGTTGCAACACCTTTAAAAGCGCATCATACTTTTGCATCCACCTGCTTGGCTACTGCTACTCTTTTTTCCATAGAAAGGTTCAAGGACTCCAGGATACAGTATCACTGTTACTGACTTGTCAAAGTCCTGACAGTAATGCTTTTGTGAATTCAAGAGCTGCAGATGTCCATAGGTCACTCTCCCTTGGTGTTGGCATGCCAGTATTTTCCCATGTATACATGTATTTCCATTTTAAACCTGCTGGACACCCCACTACCTTTGTGCTTTTTCTTGACTTGCTCCATTGCTTGTATTATCAAGAAAATATGCAGCAAAGTCACAGTGAAATGAAGCCTCTTGTTCTTCTGGTTTGACGTTCATAAATCTGAAGTCATTCCACACAAGCGTAGTATTTATACGGTAGATTTCCTGTTTGTTTTGATGTAGTTTTAAATGTCAGTCTGCTCAGCTGTTGAAAATTATGAGGAACTTATCTAATGGAGAAACAGTTTGGGCTGATTGGCCTCTTTCACTTTCTTCTGTCCTGCCAAGACAGATGTGGCTTCTACTGGAGCTGCTCTACTGGATGGCCAATTCTGGAAGTAGCTTTTCTCCTCACATTTACTGGTCCTAATTCTGAGAAAGTATGCCAAAACATGCATCACTCTCCTGGAAATGGCGTGGAGACTGGAGATGTACAGTCCAGGACTGTATGACCCATATAATGGCTAAGTTATTTTTCAGGAGGGACATTTTCTGTTGGTAAACAGCAGCAAGTTGCTGTGTCCTGAGTGTTTAAAGGAGGAGAAAAACCTTTTAAAGAAAAAAAAAAATCCTTTGTCTTTCAGCTGCAGGGTTAAAGACACCACAAAAACACAGAAGTGGACATTTGGTTCTTCACTCTCCAGTTATTGGTAGAGCTGAATGTTTTCATTTGTAATGGTATCATTCTGGTTAAGCACCGCTTAAGATTTCCATCAGAAATGTTAAAGCTCAGAAAAGGAATATGGAACCAAATGTTCAACCTTGGTTATGAAGTTTTTGTTATAATTTTCATTAAATATTTTGAGACAATAGCACCATCTTACAGTGAGGGTTTAAGAGGCAGTAGTGTAAAAGACATGCCATCAGCAAAAGGGGAGCTGTGCCCTGACATTCCTCAAGAGAAGAGTGGGAGGTTATAGCCCTCTGGAGCAGAGAAGGAAAAAGATGTTTGCTTGATCTCAGTAAATTATGTCAAAGCTCTGCATTTCACCAAAGTATCTGGGGGAGGTCTCTGACCTAATTGTTTTTTCTTTCCTCTGCAATATAAAAGATAATCAAAGTCTGTTATCATTCCTGTATTTTCAATACTTCACAGTCAAACAAAGGGCACTCTCCTGTTACAAGTGATTTGAACTAGTTTGATGTAGGCAGAAGACCTCAATCGAAAATGTTTCAGACAGGTTATTGAAGAGGTAGAAGACTGACAAAGTCAGACTGTGCTCTCTATGAGAGTACAAGTAGACTGCAAAAATATTTCTGGATGTTAGTTTGTGCCTAAATTATAGAAGCAATTTGGCTTCTTGATTTAAGAATTAAATTTTCCATAGCATTGGGGCCAGCTGGTTTGTTGGAAGATTGAGCTGCCTAGGTTATCAAAGTATACAAGCATTATCTTGTCAGATGGGAAAAGCACTAGTACTCTAAACACGAGTTTGAAGGCGTCATCTCCATAACCCCTGTGCCTGCAGGCAGGAATGACTAACAGAAGACGAAAAAAGTAGCTTATTTCTGAAATAAAGTGGCATTTTCCATTCTGTCATCTGCAGATGAGAAGAATGGACATTGAGTTATGACACTGCTCTCTAAATCTTTCTCAGGGGAAGACAGAGGCGGAACATAATCTTCAATTTTTTTCAGAATATTTCCTCACTTAAGGCAAAAGAAAGAACAGCATTGTTTAAGATGTGGCAGAAAATATTATGTTATTTCAGTAGTGATGTACAGTGCCAGCACAACCTGTGCTGCTTTTTGGCCAACGATCGTCCAAAAGTGAACAATTTTTTTTTCAGTATACTCCAAATGAAAATTTTCAATTTCAGGGCTCAGACAAAAAAATGTGTAAGGCACTGCTTACATGGATGGTTCTTTTCAGCATGCACTTTTGCTTCTACTCAAAAATTAGATGCATGTAGTTGTCCTGTGGCTTGTCTTTTGACGTGAAAATTTACATCTCCATCCAAATTGGACATGTAGTAGGTGGTCAACAGCATGGCATGGTTATCAGCGATCTCTGCCTGTGTCAATATGACAAAACAGGGTTGGCACTATGTAAGTTACTTCCTCTTAAATATATATCCTTTGTGGCCTTGGTCTCCTAGATTCATTGACTAAATGGTGGCACCTTTGCATTAAGCAGATATATCCTTTCACCTGATGATTATAAACTCATCAGCCTCCACCCCCTCCCTGAACTGTGATCTCTCTATGTTTTCTTGACTTAAATGCTTTCTTTTATTTTACCACTTCCTTACAAATACTACATAGTGATATTTACCCCAGGATATTATGCCATTAAAATGCAACAACTATCCTGTTTTACCCTCATAAATAGCTAATCAATCGATATATACATTAATATATACATAGCTATAAAATCAATACAATAAATAAGGAACAAATAAATAAAATACAGAACTTGTTTTTTTTAATAGCAGTATCATTAGCAGCTGTCAAATGGATATGCAGTGTAGCTTCAATTCCTTAGATTATTGTTTTCATCCACTTATCAGCATTTCAGATCCAAAGATCTACTTTGGATATCGATAATCTGATTTTGCCCGTTCCTTACTGTTTTAGTGATAACACTGCAACTCCAAATAAACAAAGTCATCTGGCACATTATACTAGAACACAAAACTAAAGAGTTTCCTTCATGCCTTTTGTAAGAGAAGAGGTTTTTTCATAAGGTTGAATAGCAGGAATTTAAATACTGTCATGTGTTTTGCAGACAGAAGTGGAATAGGCAGAGCTCAGATTTGAGAAGAGCCTGTTGAGTCTTTGTTTACCATACTCCATCAGTGGCATCCAGATCTCTGGGAGGGCTGCATGGGAAGAGAGTATCCTCAACATGCTAAATTTTCAGCTGATTCCCAGCTGCTGTGGTCCTGGTGTTTGTGGTGGGAGGGTGCACTCTGTGCTAAGCAATGTTATCTGTGGTCCAGCACAGACAGGGAGCAAGTGTCAGGAGGCTCCTGCAGCTGCATGGAGAGATGCTCAGCTGCTCTCCTGGGGGACAGGGAAACTGAGCACTCATCTCCACTGAGCCAGGAGCTCTGGCCGACTTTCATTCTTCACAAAGCTCAAACTGCTTTTTTAACGCAGTGCCGTGTTTACCAGATGCTGCTAAGCTCTGGATATTTTCTTCTGATAATTTTCCAGACACATAAAAGTAAATTAAAATTATGTACTAAACCCACTGCACAACATTTCTTCATAGTTTTAAATTCCCAAAGAAATAATAATTTGGTGACAGTCTGTGAACCCTGTGTTCATATGTGCACACATGTGTGTATGCATATGTAGGACAACCATTTACCTGTTTGTTTGGCTGCTTCACACCCTTCTCAAGTATTTTGGAACCAAGAATTCCCTGAAAGAGAAGCGGGGCTTAAAAATGGAATGGTTTCTTCAAAAGTGGGAAGCAGGTGAAAGAGAGTCCTTGGTAGTGAGCCCATTGAATGAAAAGCCGCAGGAAGAGCCCCATGCCAGTCAGCACCAGCGTGTGGGCAAGAAGGGGATGACATGGATGCTTCAGCTAGGAAGAACTCATGTTTAGTGCTTGAGTCATCCTGAACCAGAAAGCTCTGGGTCAAATCAGATGTCATTAGTTCAGCTGTTCACAGACTCATGTGTGATTTTAACATCTCCTTTGAAGAACACATAGGGTGAATGAATACTGCCATGTTTGTATTTTCAGAGTTGCGTGTTCTCCGATAGCAAAGGAGTTTGAGTAACAGCCTACATGCCTTGCTTGCCCATTTCATCAGAGCTCTTCAGAAAGGCACAATTGCTGCTGCCTGCAAAAGCTCAAAGGTGCTTCCCCTTCCACATCCTTGTGTTTGTGAATCAGCCAGGAGAGGAACTTGCCAAGTTGAATCAGTTGTCAAGGGGCATGTTGTGGTCACCTTTGCTCCAGGAGCTAGACTTGGACCTCAGATTTCTTTAACATAATCTAAAAAGCCTTCAAGGTGACAATTCATTTCAGTTATTACCAATTAAAGATGGATTTGAATTGGCAATTTAGGAGAAAAAAACTGTGTTCTGGCCCTTTTGGGTTTAGGGGCAGAAGGTGGAAGGAGTAATGTGAGAGTCTAAGGGTTCTTTTTTCTTACTAACATGCTTCAGGTGTAGTTCTGATTTAACTGATTTTCAATTCACAACGTCTACTGTAGATTTTCCTTTTTGTTCACATTTCTGTATCTTGTAGTTAAAAACAGAGATTGGATTTTTAAGTATCTCAGATGCTGAAGGACAATAGGCTAAAGTTTTATTATTGGGAGTTTTTTTTAAGCTTTAAAGATTGGCAGAAACGATGGCTAAATAAATTATATTATGGTAGTGAAACCAGGGGTTAATTGAAATGATTTTGCAATATCCTGTGTACTTAGATGTTCTAAAGAGGAGACAAAAAATATGTCCTAAATGCCTTAGCTTTTACTAGTCATTAATATGGTGGTGCTGTAAGCAAGAATTTACAGGGGTTTAGGGCCCATTTTTCTTTTCAGTTGCCATAGTAGAGAATTCTGAAAGCTCAGTTTAGTTACTGAAACAGGAGTTAGCCTTGGCCGTAACCAAAGGTGGGCAGTATTTTTCAAAAGTGGTAAAAATATGGTACAAAAGAAAATCCCTTAGGGAACTTTCCTCTTCTAGTGGGCTACCCAAAATATTGATTTTATTTTTCTCACTGACTTTTTTCAAGTCTGTTGATTCTTTACATTATTTAGTCTATATTTTCTATCTTTCAAGATGCCATGGAAGGTACCATGGCTTAAAAATAGTATAAATTGAATTAAAATGTCAGTGTTGGGTAGGAGGTTAGTTAAGGAGAAGAACATACTTTTCATAAAGTTTTCTGATATATGGAAAATTATTAAGTAATTATTTTCAGAATCTTAAAAGTGTTCATAGATCTCACTCTACGCAGTGTGTATCTGTCCCCATGTACACACAGCTGTGTGTGGGATGCCCTCCACTACCCTTGCTCAAATAACACATTGCTTACAAAAAGATTTAATGAATTCCCTGAAGACCAGGTTCATGCGATTTTGCATCAGTGGAAGATGAAGCTGCTTCCTGTAGTAACTTTTTTCTGGATTGTGCAGCGTTTGAGAGTAGGTGAGAGAGCTTGTGTGATGTAGTAAATGTAGTAAATGTGTGATGTAGTAAATGTAGTAAAAAGGCAGCTGTGAATAGATACAGCTATGTGCTTGTATTTTGATGGTCATACAAATCTTAGACTTGGTGTATCTTAAATAAGAGTCACTTCCAGCCTTCTGAGGTTTTTTGGATCTCATGCCAAAAGCTTTTATGCACTGTGAACTTGTGCAAATCACTGCTCTTTGAATGAGTAACAGAGCAGATATACAGACAAATGATAATGTGTTGGATGTGGCAGTTTAACAAGTTTAATTGAAACATCTTATCTTGAAGCTTTTAGTATAATTCACAAATACCAATTTAACTGCCACGAAAACACTTAAAATGGGGTTGACATCATATCATACCCCTTTTTTAAATGGCAGATGGCGTGATACATAAAGAGGTTGTGTTCTGGAGG